TACCGGCGGCGTGGCAGCGCCGTTAGCGGTGCCGTATATTTATTTTCGTGCCATCCGTGCCATCCGAGCTCCATTGCGCCTTTCATGGCGCTACGGTATTGTACTCGGTTAATTTCGCGATACCGCAAGAATAATTTATAACGCTTCTTCTACAAGTCGAAAATGAATATGGATGAGCTTTATTTCGTTAGAGAGAAGTACACGTATCTTCAATTAAATCAAGATCTCTCGGCGCGCGGGCTCAGTTGTTAGCTTTTTCTCTCGCAGACAGTCACGCCCATCGGACTTAACTAATGACATATGCAATTGAATATAAAAATTATTATACAAATGTATTATATATATATTGAATTTTATGATACGTATATTTCTCGTTCATGTGTAAATAAAAAAATATGCTGCATGATATATAGATGTAAGGGTAAAGTTGGTAAAGAGAGAAAGGGAGCATTGAAATTACGCAATTGTATGAATGATTAATATATATATATAAATAATAACCTCTTTTCGGCGACACGCACGTTACGCCTATAATTATGCGATGCAGTACATTTAATTTCCCTAATAGGTATGCAAATTACTGTAAGGCGATGCGATCATTATCGCTACAACGAAACACGCTACAGTGGTGTGTGTAGCGCGTCTGGAATTAATTATTAATTAGGTTAATTACATAAACAGTAGAGTTAGCTAACGGATAGGGCATATGTAAATATTTTGCGCGCAATACGACCGATTAGCGGTGAAATTGCAGCGATGCGTTGTAACACGGCCGCTGCGTACGAATGCCGTATGAAATTACTTACGAAACGCTAATGTAATTTCACGAAATGGCTTTATTCAAACCGACACGGAATTAGTCATGTCGCTTAAATTACTGAAGCCTTTACTATAGTTATTAACCTCGTCCACAGAGTGTTCCAGAATTTCTGTTCTTAACTTGTAAATGTCCCACGGGTCATACCGCGGAAATGTATATCGTTTAAATTGCCACTTAGAGAATAATATATGAAATTTTTCTCGCAAACCTATCATACTACATAGAGGATTATATCTCCGACATCATATCTGTAATGGGAGTATGCGTACTGTTGTGTGTGTGCTTTCTGGCACGTATTTTCTGCGTTTTACAGTTAAAAGTTAGTTACTGAGACAGACATCTCGATAAACTCGCAATTGGCCGCGCTTCGAAGAAGATCTCAGAGAAAAGCGTTTCATCCGCCACAACTTTGTAATACTCAACATTAATTATCCCGATAAGTAAACGCAGAGTTCAAACTTCGAAAGGTTAAAGTCCATTCGGATGAATAATAAGGTTTTGTTACTAAGTGCCGTTTCAGCAGGAAATTCCGTTCGCAGTTTCATGTTCGGTCGGTTCATATTTCGAAAATTACTGACGCTTCGATATTTTAATAAAAGCAAAATCAACACTAATCGCGAAGTCTCTCGTTGGGACCAAAAAACCGTTAAGACCCATGGGCGATTTTAATTGCCACGACTTTTTTTCGTATATCTTGCGGCCGGACAGCGCAATTTCAACGGCACGTTTACCCGTCGCATTAAAAAAAAAAAGAAATCAGTAAAAAACGACGCCGCAAATATCCCGCGACAGAGTACACGATGTCCTAGAATTAGGTAAGTAAATGTGTACCGTTACTCCTCCATGTGAAATTCTCAATTCTTTTTTTTAGTGGTAGAATAGTCGAAATACTAGCGACAGAAACGATCCACATATAAGTTAAAAAGTTCGGAGTAACATAATAATAAAGAGGAAGATTTTTCGCGAATGAAGTTTCAGACGAAAATATATGACGAAATATTACTTGTCATTCAATATTCAGTGAAATTTTGCGCAATCTCAATTTAAAGCTTAGTTACCAAAAAATGTCAAATATCGAAGTTGAACAGTTGCACAGAATAATGTATGAATATTTATACCTTTGAATTTTATATATTCGTGCTGTCGTCGGTGAGCGCGTTGGAGATACATATTTGCCTATATATTCATACTTTTGAAAATTTAACATCTTCAGAAATACATTCAGAGTCGAAATTTTAGTTCATTTGCATTAACTATACCAGAAACGGGTATTTATTACTGTTTTCCATATGTTGAAACTTAAAAATTAATGAGTAAAAGTAATAAAATGATAACTTTATTTTTTCATGATTTTCTTTTATTATTTATCATTATTCTTCATTAATACTGACAAGAGAAAAAAAACAACATATTAACAATAATAGATATTTAAAAACAATATATTAACATTAATAGATATTTGTTATTTTCGGTGCAATAACAATGCCAGACACAGGTGAAAAGAATTACAAATCAACACCTATAGAATTTACAGCAGACCATAAATTTCTCTCGTTATATACGATATGTACGTATTCAAATACATGTTTCAATGTATATTCAAACATTGTTAAAAAAAAAATATAACATTATTGTGAATAAATAATCGCCTATGTAAGTCCCCGATAAGCAAAGAAGAAATTCCATCATATGATTGACATATGTCTATATATTGATTATTTTTAATAATTTCTTTCCGACTGTAGTACATCCATTCCTGAAGAGGTTGATCTTTTTAAACCTTACGCGAAAGGCAGAGAGTATTCACTTTCTAAGCGAGTGATTCTCTAGACTTCACACGTAACGCCGGACCTCAGGCGCGCAAACGGATAAATAAACCCGCCACCGATAAGTCGTGTTTGCCGTGTTACATTCCTGAATCGCGCGTCAGAGTAAAATTAAGCATAACAGCATTCCGCACTGCGTTCGTGATATTTGTCGATGTTTTATTTATTAAGAAATACAGTCTTAATCTCCAACTTGATATTGCAATCACTTATTTATTTTCACTGCTTTTCTTTAAACGAATTCACGGCGTAAAATATCGATTTTAATCGTCTCCAAGTAACTTCGAATTATCTGAAGTATGTGAAATTATACCATATATATCGATTACGGTATTAGTCACAAGATCAATATTTTCCGGCATCGTGAATACTGATAAAAATAAACCGTGAAAGTAGGAAACACGGGGACAATCACGGGTGTCGAAAGTGGTCCTTCAATCAAGGACGCGCCAAGAGTGAGGCAAGTGCAAGTTATGCGATTTCTCTCCCGCGTTCTCGTCGCTTGAAAAAATCCATGTTTACCGTGACATAACGGGCGATCCTTCGGCTCCAGGCGACAGATACGACGCTATTTTAAGGTTAGAAAACGACGCTCGATCTTCTCTCGCGTACTCCCGAGGAATGTGTGTCACTATTCGACGAATAAATACCGCATCTCTACGCACGGTGCTCATCGACGCATCAGGTGTCAGTCACCTCGAGCCGTGAGAACGCGACTCTCGCGTGCGGGACGGAGACGTACTTTCCTCACACACGTACCACGGTACGCACTGTCTTCGTGATTGTCAACGCGATTCTAATAATTAACAATGACGATCACGCCGAGTCGCGAAATGTGCGTCGCGCAGCATCGTCCCGGAAATGCGTTAACAACGCGCGACTGCGTGACAAATTTCAATCACGGTAGTTGACGCGCGAACTGCGTGAAGCTATCGCATTGACACTCGGAAACTTAAGTATCTCAAGATGCCAAACTTCACGTTCTTAGTGACAGCGTGAAATTTGAGTTCATCGTTTGTAGCGATAACCTTTGGTCGAACGGCCGTGCGAAGTCGCGAGCATGGGAAAAGCGAGAAATGATCAGTACTCACCCTGTGTCCTATTGGCCGTGGCAGTCTGCGACCCGTCCGGAATCCGTCGGCGACGGTCCGGAGTCTCGTCTTCGTCCCGCGCCTTTCACCGTTTCGCAACGAGGAGTAGGATGCGCGAGGATCGTCGTTCCCTGACGCCGGTTCTATGCGTGGCGAGAGTCACTCGCGATAAATCACACGCGACGACTCACTGACGGCGACGCGTGACGATGACAATCGCGAGGCACGCACGAGAGCGTACGCGAGAGGACACGCATGAGCGCGAGATCTGCGAAACGCGACGCGCGAACAACGCTCCGAACGCTCCCATCGGTCAGCTGCAACTGGCGACCGACGCGGCGGCGGTGATGGCGCCAAGGGGGAGCCGGGGGGAGGCCGGCTGCGCGCGCCACTCCGGAACTCAAGTACTGAACTTCAGCGTAAACGAGACAACCGAGAGAGATTACGATTTTTTTGTTTTATCGTTCTTATGAAATAAAGCACTGAGACAACACGAACGATATTTTTCGATGAATTTAGATGCCGATAGGCAATTAAAATTACAGGAATATGAATGCCGAGCAAAGATCGAAACCAGTATAATTTTTCCGAAACTCGCGCTCAGGTGATACTTTCTCTCTTACGTTATGCTTTCTATATTCAACATAAAATAGATATTTATATACGTATGTATCTGAGATTCGAGAGCAGGAGAGGGAAAAAGAATGAAAATTGTAAGAAAATACAAGAAAAACGTCTAAAAAAAGTAGACTTGCTTATTCTCATGTTTCGTCGCAAATAATGGAAAATGGAAAATGCTACAGTGGCTACATCCTCTTTTGCGTATTTATAGAGTCAAAAGTTGGACTTGACGAAATTATATCGCCTTCGATCATTGATTTCGAGGGAAACAAGTTTTTGCGTTGTAAAGCGCATTATCGTTTCCTGCGTGTTTAGATTAAAATTACTTAGCTTGATCGATGTCGTTTTATATTAGTTTCTTCTGTTCGTTGTATTGTCAGCACTTCGTGGACTTAGATAGATAATAAATACCGTGAGAAAATCCCGTGGAAACTCGCAACCGACCTCCTTATCGTTATTTGACAAAATGGAAGGCTCTTGTGACGTTTTGTATAATATTGCGTAAAAAAACATCACTAGGAGAAACAATCAGGCATGTAACGATCGCGAAAAGTCACTAGCTTCATACATCTGCATGTTTCGAAAAATTTGGTACACTTTGTTGAATTTTAATTACACTTCTACACTTTGTTACAATTTCTGCACCAGTACAGGAAGCTCAGCTGAAAGGAACTAACCTCCAATCTGATATCAAAGGTTGAAGGTGTGAAATAAGAATCGAACGCTTCTGTTAAAGGAAGAGAAAGAGAAAAGGTTAAAGTTAAATCATTTGGTATTTGATTATTACCTGATTATTTTAACAAAATGAGATGGCAATTATGTTATTCAACTTATAGACGGAACATGTGCAAGCGTATTTCCACCGTAGATCTCGCTGGATAAAATCAGTTAAAGAAGTAAGTTACATAGGTTAAGTTAGGTTGGATTGTCACCACAACCTAACGAACTCACAAATTAATTTTGCGTGACATTCTGCTCGCGAATTTTATAATTTTTTACCTTCTTAAGTTTCCGTTACTTTTTCTCTTTTCTCCCTTTCGTTTTTAGCGCAGAAATGATGCAAAGCGTGCATGTCGCGAATTAACGTCTCCTCCATCGTTCTCGCCATGGACAACGACCCAGGCATAATGTGTTTTCGTCATTGCCCGGCGAAAAGTGTACTATGCAAGAATGTCCCGACGACGTGTCCAGTTTGCTTGTCACATATCCGGGATTTCTTTGTAGTTCCGTTTCGCATTCCATATCCACTCGCAAATGCCGCTCATAATCCGACTAGTGTCATTATTCGTCCCGCTCGAGGTAGCTTTCTTGAGGATTATGATGCCACACAAGACTTGCACATCGGAATAGTTGATTCCGCTGCAAATATCATTGAATTCGATAAAGATGGCTTGATAGTGAATGATGTTGCAAGATGGACTGATTGCGTTGCATTCAAAGTTGTGTCTGTTGCCTGGACTGTTCAATGGGACAATACATTATCACTCATGTTGAAAGATCTCAAATGGAGATCCATTAACTATGATGAGATTATTATGAATTGTTTTGACTTTGTCTTAGAATTTTTTAACAATCTTGCATATAGAGATTTGAAATTTATTAGCAAGGAAGATTTGTGCAAAAGACTAATACTATCAAGAATTCAGAATGTAATTAAATACAGTTCATTATACAGAGCTTTGAAGAGTCAAGAATATGTGCTGTCAAATCAGCATATTTAATACATCTTTCTGTTCATTTTTATTTCTAATGATATATCATTTGTACAACAATGTAATAAATGTTTATCTTTATGCTTTACTGTCTTATTAATTTTCTATTATAAACAATAGTATTCTGAATAATTATTTTATAGTTATTTTAAATATGACAAAAATTTGCTTCCTTGCATCTCAACACAATTCGTTATTTATTACATCTCATCTCAAAATAATAATTATTGATCCAAATTGTAATTATTGTGATGACACTAAATCTATTTTCTTAATTATTCTGAAACAAATGTATAAATCAAGTATTTTTGGAATCTTTAAAACTTGCCAGATTTTTATTTTTCTAATTTTTCCATTATTATACAAAGCATCTTTGAAATAATATAAATCTCTTATATAAATAAAAACGTTTTATCTTTGCAGAAAGTATACAGAATAATAGGACAACAAGATGATTCTTACTAGAATCGGAACGTCTTTACGTAGCATACGTTCCGAGCACAACAGGTTGCAATTCAGAAGTCTTATCAGTAGCAGCGAAGACAAATATGATGTGATAGTCGTTGGTGGTGGTCATGCTGGAACCGAAGCATCTGCAGCTGCTGTCAGAATGGGTGCAAAGACGTTGCTGGTCACTCAAAAGAAAAGTACTATAGGTACATTCCAAACAATCTAAAAAAAATTATAACTGTACTTTAGCAGTAATAATCTAATTAAATTACACTTCCGTGTAATCTTAATGCTATCAGTAATACAACAAAATTTATTTATGGATTAACAAATCAAAATAAAAGTACTGAAAGCCGATCGAAGATAATACTTATTCCAGTTTGCTAAACATTTTTACATTTACATTGCACATGTAGGAGAGATGTCATGCAATCCGTCCTTTGGTGGAATCGGAAAAGGTCATCTCATGAGAGAGGTAGACGCTTTGGATGGAGTGTGCTGCCGAATATGCGACATCTCGGGTATACATTATAAGGTTCTGAACAAGAGTAAGGGACCGGCGGTGTGGGGTCTCAGGGCTCAGATAGATAGGAAGCTGTACAAGAAGCATCTTCAGGCAGAACTCTTCAACATGCCGAGACTGCATATCTGTGAATCTTCCGTAGAAGATCTGATTCTAGCAAACGAGTGTTTATCGTGTCGTGGAGTGATTCTCAGTATGTTTGAAAATATATAATACACGAGGCAAAAAAAATAGAAGAATTTCAAGAATTATTTCATCTTGATTTAACTGTCATCAAGTTTATATTACCATATTACTTTGTAGAAGATGGTACGAAGATATTCGGCGATGCGGTGGTTATAACCACGGGAACTTTCTTAAAGGGCCAAATAAATATTGGATTGGAGAAGAGGCCAGCAGGTAGAATGGACGACGAACCAAGTATCGGCTTGGCAAATACGCTAGACAGACTCGGATTTCGAATAGGAAGATTAAAAACTGGTAAGGGTGACATTTTCACACCACGCTTGCATGTGTTCAAAACGAACTAAAAACGCATTCACGCATTATATTTATAAATTATTTCAAAAATGTTCTGGCGATTTATTTCTTTTTTTTTTTTCATTTTAGGCACGCCGCCAAGACTGGAAAAGGAGAGCATCGATTTTACAAAGTGTATAGAGCGGTCAGCAGATAAATCTCCTATACCGTTTTCATTTATGAATGATAAAGTGTGGTTATCGCCGGACGAGCAAGTACTGACATACCTGACGCACACAAACGAAAACGTCGCGAGAATCATAAGAGACAATATGCACTGCAATCTGCATGTGACAGAAGAAGTAACGGGTCCGCGCTATTGTCCGAGTGTGGAGAGCAAAGTTTTGCGCTTCGCAAACCAGACACACCAAATTTGGCTGGAGCCGGAAGGTCTGGATTCGCCGTTAATTTATCCCAGCGGATTGTCTTGCACTCTACCGGAAGAAAAACAGGTGGAACTTGTCAAATGTATCTCGGGGCTAGAAAACGCACGTCTAGGTAATTGTCACATGCAATTCCACTATCGATTTTTATAAGACAAGTTACAAATTGAACGGATTTTCAGTTTCTTTATTACTACGATTTTGTCAACTTATAGATTAATAATTTCATTTGTATGTTTGCGCAGTAAAACCTGGTTACGGTGTTGAATACGACTACATAGATCCTAGAGAATTGACGCCCGAGTTGGAGACCAAAAAGATTCCAAGGCTGTTCCTTGCTGGACAAATAAATGGCACTACTGGCTACGAGGAGGCAGCTGCGCAAGGTATCGTTGCGGGTGTCAACGCAGCCGCTAAGGTGATTAGCTTTAGAAGAATCTTTTCTATGCAAAAAACTTCACTCCAGTCAGTACATTATTTTCTATAAAATATTATACACATAAAAGATACCGATAATTCTATCGAAGTGTTCCATAGGAATGATTCTACAAAATCGCCAGAGATTTTATCAAATTTGCCGAATTAATCAACTTTACTGTAACACGTCGAAATAAACGAATTTATTTACGCCTGTGTTCAGATATTAAAGAAGCCGTCACTTGTGATAAGTCGAACCGAGGGTTACATCGGCGTCCTCATCGACGATCTAACAACGCAGGGTACCACCGAACCATACAGGATGTTCACTAGCAGAGCAGAATTTCGCGTGAGTCTGCGTCCGGACAATGCCGATTGTAGATTGACGGAGAAAGGCTATAAAATTGGTTGCGTTTCGCGCGAAAGAATGGACAGGACGTGGGAAATCCAACGTAAAATACAGGAGGCCATACATTTACTTAAGAGCGAGAAGCAGTCGATCATTAAGTGGCGACGTATGATGAAGCTAAGTTGCTCCAAGTCTATCAGTACTAAGTCGGCCTTTGAAATACTTGGTTATCCAAACAACGAGTTCACGTTTGCGCAACTAGTGGAAAAATTGCCGGAATTACTGAGTTACTTTGACGGAGATCCCGTTTTGGCGATGAGAGTAGAGGTATATAAATTAATTATAAGGATAATGGATACTTACACATCTCGGCAAGAAGTTTCACTACTTGAAAGAGTGGTTATTTTTAAAAGATAAATTATTAGAAATTTCGGTCGACTGCTTTCAGATAGAAGCAAAATATGCGTTTGCTGTCGAAGACCAACAGCACCAAGTAGATGATATCAGGAAGAATGAGCAAATGATTATACCCGAAGATATTGACTATAATAGGTAACAGAAATTAAAAATTACGACTGTCGAAGATTCATTTTATTGTCTTTTTTTATCTCGCGTATAAATCTTCTAGAAAGAATTAATAATCATTTACTTTATTTTCATACAGCATCAAATTGAATTTATCCAATGAAGATAAAGAGAAACTCACAAAGTACCTCCCACGCACGGTAAATCTTTATTATTATCTGTTCCATATAAAAATTAATTTTGATTTATATCGAGAATTTTTCTTGTCCTTCCTCAATATTGATGACATATTCGTTATTTTTAAATGCATTTCCCGCATAATCGATGCTTTTCGTTTCCAACAACTATTTTTACTTATATTAATTAAAATTTATTTTGCAGATTGCGGCTGCCAATAAAATCTCAGGTGTGACACCTATGGCTGTGTTAAAGTTGCTTTATTATATCAAATATCACTCCAACGAGTACACAGCTAAAGCATAACATTGTATTATATGATAACCAGTATTTGCTGTTATCTATAAAAAGACCATATAGGTAATCGTTCAGATGAAGTTATTATAACTATATTATAGCTGTATTATATTTATATTTTCGTACAAGTTTCTGAAATCAACATCTGAATAAGAAATGAAACATTAAATGTATATATAAATATATATTTATGATTTATATATAGTTTAGCAGCTATTATTTCATTGCCAGCCACTGTTATATAGTACATGGATATACATTAAATTAAGTATTGTTTATTTTGTATGTTTCAGATTATAGAAGATTTAATAAAGCATTCATTTATTCTGCATACATTTGTAATAATTTTATAAATGTATACTATCATGCGAATTATTCTAACATGTGCTATTATCAACTGATATTTGTAAATATTATTGAAGCACACAATATAATCGTGCGGTCTTATTTTGAATGTTTTACTAATTTCTTCGTTATATATGTATTTAAACTATAATAAATTATGCTCGGGCATTTTTCGGGGTCATTATTACAAAGAACTCCATAGATTTTATATATTTGTATAACATATTTCAGTAATCTGGAGTAGTGAACATTTCATATTTCTTCTTTCAGTAATTATGAGAGATTCTTTTTATGTAATATATCATATATCGTTTGTATATTAAGACAGATTTTAACCGTTTGAGTCCCGGGGGGTATTGAAAAAACACTATCGAAGAATCCCAAACAGCGCAACCGCGCTTTTACTAAATGAATACGAAAAGACCCAAGCAGCGCGATAGCGCTTGTTTTATTTTATGTCGAGAAATACCAAGCGGCGCGATAGCGCTTCTTGTAAGTGTTAGGTAACGTGATTCTCGTCTTTTTCTCATCGCTCCGTCACATTTATTGCAGTTCGCAAAGTGATCGGACGTATTCTTCCATAAGTATTACTCTCTATTTAAATTGTTCATAACACAAAAATATTGTTAATTTGTAATTCGTTATTTTATAAAATACATCTGTATTATTACATATGCGTACTGTAAATTTATAAATATTTCAAGTTTTGTTCGATAAAAATTATTGAGAAGATAACAATGAAATAAAAATTTTTATTTTGGAATGTATTATTGCATTATTATAGTATTATTCTACATATTGTAAAATGTACTATTTACATTAAAAGGAGCTGTGTGATGTACTTGCGTCAGTAAATCTGAGCTTGCGACTTCGACAATCGGTAACGCACCGTCAGTTGTCCACAATGCTCGAAATGTGCTGGGTTTTCTCGACATAAAATCTCAACAGCGCGATCGCGCTCTTTGGGACTCAAACGGATATAGGATATATACAATAATGATTTCGATTAATCGAGTGAGCGACTCGATATATATCACTTTGCGATAGCTCGATACATATGACACGATATATCTTGCTTCTGTATCGAATTATTTCAAATTTTTCGCAGTGTTGCGTTAAGCGATAAGCGGTGTACGGTATGACAGTGTATGCAAGGAGAAAATCCATGTAATTGGAAAAATGGATAGAAAGGTTAAACTTACAAAATGGTTTTTCATATTTTTCCTCATGTTTCAATGGGCGTACGCTCGGCGTATCCTCGAGGAAACGAGTAAGTTTACTTAACCTATATTAAGAGATAAGATAATTCCAAATTTATGTACCAATTCTACCAAACTACAATATAGTAATGAATTAAAGGTATAGAAAAAATTTAAAAAGTAGCCAACTTCCTTGTTTTCCAGAAATATGGATGGTAGAAGTTATATCTTGTTAGAACATAGTGCACAATTAAAGTATCGTTAAGAAAATTAGTTTGATGATATATAATGTTGATACATGTGTGATTTATTGTTCCAGAAGTATACTTTCTGCATGCAGCTGATAGTGTAGAGAATAATAATCCTGGACTGAAAACATACTGCCATAATGCTACATCAAAGTATTTGACACATATCTGGAGGACTATGACTGTAAGGAAGTTTCCAATTATTTCACGTGGACTTGTACAATTTTATTATGTTTATTATAGAAATACTATAATTGCAGATGCATCTAGATATCAATTCTGAGTCATATACTTTATACGATGGTAAAACTCCTTTTGAGATTCACCAAAAACACGATGAAAATCAAAGATCGTGGAGTCTTAACTTGTTCGACACAGGAAAACATAAGCGATTGAAGATTAATCCCTTCGAAGATGTATGTATAGGCGTTTATATAGATTCTTCCAATGAATCTGGATATATAATGAGTATGACAGAGACACGTAAGCATCTGAAATTAGACTCTTTTTTGTATATTTCTATAATTGACAATATAATAATAATATATATCATTGTCTATTGCTAGGTGTCAATGTCTGGATGTTGACAATAATGGTAGCAGGTATCTTGATTTTCTGGTGTGCAAAAATGTTAAGTCAGAATTCGGTGTTTTATTACGCTTGTGGCATTTTGTTTGGAGTTACTATGTCTATCATAATCTTAATATATGTGGCAGGGAAATTGGTACCACGGGTAAGTACTTTAACATAATAATTTTCGATTGATATAATATTTGACAAAATGTCTTATATATATATTTTTGCCTCACATTAAGGGCAAGTACATGTATTTAATTTTTGCTGGAACAATGAGTATTTATCTCGCTCGAGTATTATTAGAAAATGCTCAGTTGATTGCGATGCAATATAGAGAGTGGGTCATGTGGTATATTCTTGTAACATCGTTGATCAGTTTCTTGATTTGCTATCGTTTTGGTCCAGTTACCAATTCAAGAACGAAACAAATAATACAATGGTTCCTGCAGGTAAGTTATATTATGTAACATTTTTTTGTGAACTTTCTAGTATAAACGGTTTCACGTTTTTGTAGATTATAGGATTGGTGTTGATATATAATAGCAGTTACTTCCGCGAAGCATCTCTTTCATGCTGCGTTATACTTGTACTTTTATACAATTTTCCGAAAGCAGCGCTGGAACGAGGAAAAAGGTATTGGTAAGTGTATGGTTGAATTTACAATACTAGTAGCTATTGCTTTGTCGTCAATTACAGTCATGTGCTACACGAAAATACATTTGTTTAAACATTTATTACTTTGCATTTTCAGATTAATTAATTGAATATAGCACGCATCCATATTCTGCATATATTTATAATATTTTAACAGATATATAATGTCGTTTGAAAACATTATAGCGAGTTGTGTGTTATTAAAATATATTTAAGAGTATTATTTAAACATTATTTTTTAATCATGCAGTCTTAATCGTGTTTTGAATATTTTATTCTAGCATAACGTTATGTATCTTTGATTTAATAAATGTTGTATTTTTTTGCATAAAATGTTTAATACTCGTAGTCAGTAAAAATGCAAATTTTACTTCCTTGTTTAAGCAATTTTTTGATGCTTTTTATATATGTTGCATATTGTTGCACATAGTTGTATTTTAATTAACAATATAACAAAAGCATACAACATAGTAGTTGTATTTTAATTAACGATATAACAAAAACATTAATACATTATTTTCTTTTGTTTTAAAAAAAAATTTATAAAAATAAGTTACATATTATTGTTCTTGTACACAATTAAGTTTTATTTAGAAATTATACCTTAAACCTTGTAAATAAATTAAGTGTGTTATTGAGTTGGTCAAACATTTAAACATTTTTTATGCTAGTTGCTTTGCATTTTTTACAATGTTCTAAATATCCAGTAATATAAAATATGTATTAAATACTAGTATAATGTCTATATCACTATTTTTTATATTTATTTTATCTCGAGCAAAGCAAGGTAATATATCGCCTATTTTTTTGTCTTCTTAAATGAGGCAAAACATGTTTCCTGAAAAGCGGAAATTGTTAAGCGAAGATCAATATCGTCTTGAAGGAATACGGGAAACTAAGAAAGCTTTAAAAGAATTACAAGACTACTGTTCCAGTCCGGAATGCAATACTTGGAAGACAGTTTTAAGACTAAAAAACCCTATAAGGTAGGTGAATGTATCACAGTTTATTACATGTAAGTATGCATCATAGTTTATTATATGTAATATTGAAACTATTACAGAATATAGAAAATAGAAAAAAACGCTAGGATATAGAAAACGTTCAAGTTACTTGTGTAATAATGCGGTTCTTGATTTTTTAGGTTTGCGAAATTTATGGAAGAAGATTTGCATCTGTACAAAGAGGAAATTGAAGATCACGACGTCGAAATTTCAAAAATTCTCGACGAAGATGAGTATACAGATGATGAATATTAATGAATATGATTAATGAATATAAGTAATTTAATCAAATAAACTTCGAAATATGGAAGTTGAAGTGATTATAACTTGAGAACGGCTTATGTTTCAAATATATCAATATAAATATAGAGTTCACTTTGGTTTGTATAAATTAATTGAAGTTTCACGTCTGATTAGACTGCAAGGTAGAAGGTTTATATTTAATTAATTTATTTAATTAAGTAGATATTTTTGCTTAAAATTTACTTGGACGTGTTTCTGGTCATTATGTTATAAGAGAATAATGCAGTGGACATTTTTAATATTGTAATCATCGTAACATCTGAACAAAAAGCCTTGTTTCATATAGCGTTTGTAATGCAAGAACAATATAATATTGCTTATGTATGTAAATATTAATGGATCGCGTTATATATTGGAATATAATTCCCGTAGCAATAATGGAAAATGTTTCCCGGAAATATGTATTTCTATGAATTATTTTTTACCAGTTTGTATCTCGTTTGGAAATGTGTGGAAATAAATATATTTTGACAGTTGATTAATTTATTGCTTACTTTCATCGCAGGTATATATCATGGTTGAGTGAAAGAACTTTCAAATTCATATTTTCATTAGATTTTATCAGAGGAATATTAAGTGTATTTGGCACGCCGCGCTTATATATAATTTATTCATCAGTTATCCCTATAATTCGATATGACGAAGTAGACTACAGGAGTGTTACTTGAGTGATTTACACTATTCGGACAGTTCGTATCGCTTACATTGATTTGGCGTAATAATTTCCAAAACCAGAGCATTGTATCTAACTTCTTATACGTGAATTTTTAAAAAATCATGTTACGACGATCTAATCTACTTCCGGCCCTATTTTTAAGCGCAGAATCGTCGAGGTAGTCGAGCAGATATCGGTCTATTAATGATACATTCCTACTTTACATATGTTTGTTTTCTATGTTTGTTTTTAAAAATTGGAGGTTAAACTTCGCACTACATCATCCGACAACTCCCATAAGTTTCATAATTTTATAAGTGCCGTCAAACATCTTAATCATAGCAGAGATCGAAGGGGGTAAGTCGAATTTCTTGTCCAATGTCATCAGCGTTGTATGCAGTCCCGGTATAAGTGTTCTCTTTGTGAATTCTATACCTGCCTCAATTGCTTTGAGCATTAATGCACGGCCTGTGCTGCCTATCTTGTCCATGACGTAGCATATTATAGTTTTGATCGTACCCAACGGATTCACCATAATCTTTGGGATTAAATCGAGGGATAACTTCTCCACCTGAGGACACTCATTTTTCCCGATCAGTGTGCCGTACGCGAAGCTGAATATATCGAGTGCAGGTTTAAACATAAGAACAACACTTTTTCCCAACACCTTCGTCAAAATGTTCATGAGGGGCGATAGTATGGATCTTTTGTGCCTTGAGAGGGACGTTTCCAACGGTACATATTGATAGTTCGATGTATACTCCTCGCCCGAATCTGGAAACAATACATTAATAAGAACTCTATTGCAAACACGCAAACGCTACATAAATATTATTAATATTGTTATTTTTCTGTGAAAATGATTAATATTTTTATGCTTATATATTTGTTCTTTTTTGTATAAAATTTGCTCATAATACACAGAGTTTCTGACGTAAGGCGCGCCAACATGTCGCATACTTGTAGCTTAGGTCAGTATAAACAAAAAAGTCCTGTACCATTTTACAAACAACACGCAAAATTTCGAGTTATTAATGATTGAAAATGGTCATGTATGGAGGCTTCTTTAATTAATAACTCAAAAATTTGCGTGGTATTTGCAAAAAAGTCCTTTACCATTTTGCAAGTAACTACAAGTATGTGATGGTCGGCGCGCTTGCCTCAGACACCCCGTATATAGTATTTACACTGAGATATGTATGTTTATTTATTATATGATTATATTATATTATATGATTAATTTAAATAATCGTAATTATATTATATGATTAATTTAAATAATCGTATTTTTGGGGGGGGGAGAAAAATATGTGATGATTTTATTAATTTCCGTTTCGAATCCGCGCACGTGAACGAAAGCACCGCGAATAATTTGAAGAAGAAACCTATTAAAACTTACTTGTGACATCTTCCTTCGAGTTGACATTTTCCTCAGCATAGATTGTACAAGTCCAATGGATTAAGACCAAAGAGAGGATGAGAAATGGCAGCTTCATTTTGCTAGTTATCGGTTCTTGATTGGGAATATCGAAATCAGCAGTTGTTACGTTTTTATGTCGCCTCTTGCCTCGACACGATTTTTTCCGACCAGCCACTTTGCTGCCGTGTTGCGCTTCTTTTTATTGTTCTCTCTTGGCCGGCACTTCGACGAGAATAATTAGTCCGATACAATTTGTTGACAGGCTGACACCTCAATTGGCGTAAATTGCCGGATTTGTGCGCGATAAAAGTAGCAAATGATCCGAAGTAGACACTAGTCTGATGCGTGAAATTAATGTTCTACTCGTTAATTATACGTAATTGTATTCGCGCCCGAGCGTTGATTTGAATGTCTATTTCGTTCCGTTTATTACGTAACTCGCAACGTCTCTTACGTATTTTTCTTTATCACAAAAATATAATCGCAGATATCTTCGATCTGCGCGTTTTTGAGATGCGCACCGACGACAGCCTGTAAGGCAGTATTAGCGGAACAAGTAATAATATCGACTTTGTACGAATGTTCACGGACAACGTATTGACGTAAACTAGCATGCATATTAGAAGGTTTGTTATCGCTGCCACTAATTTCGTATGGAAAAATGTTCAATGTCCACGACGATATGCTCACGGCCAATTCGTCATAGTGTCGTTATCGTTGAATTTTTAGTTAACGTAACAGTTGAATTTTTCCGAGTCTTCTTTTTCTCTCTTCATGAAAAAAAAGGGTCTGACGACGAAATGCTTGGTAATGAAGGTGAGCAGCACGTAAACTCGACGCATAATTCGAGAGTGATATAATTAAATGTTACTTCTGGACACCACCTTTGGGGGTGTACGATGTTATCGAAACGCATCGCTGACACGCATTTGATATCTTTGGATTATTGTTATAGACGCAGTGTGTATGCAATCTCGTTGAAGCAAATTTACCCGGTTGAGTTTACATTTTCGGTCCGCTATACGCGCATCTAGCGACTTGACGTGCCGTTATAAATAAACGATCCGGTAAATTATGGAATACAGACCGACTTTCTTATACACACATGCGTATTACTTTCACTCTCCGATTAAAGTTAAATAATGTGTGAATTATGTCGTAACAATCGCATTTGGCGAGTAACAATTAGAACGCCGAAAGCGCGCGAAAACAGCAAGCGATGAATCATCGCGAGCGATGTTTCGCTTATTTTAAGGAGTAATTGGGCGATATTTTTGTCTTTTTCCGGAAAGTAAAAGAAGGGATAACGTTAATTCAACGACTGAATTACGATATCCGTGCTAAACGTGCCTACGGTCTCGAGGCTTGCCGTTTATCTGGCATTTCCAATTAAACCTCGTGCGGCGATAAATTTTCATATTTATTAGACCGAAGCGTATGTAAATCACTTATGTGAACATTTTTCCCCGAGAATGTTCCTTGTAAACACAAGCGGAAGCGATAACAGCGAATACCATTGTCGACGTGGAAAATGTTCGGTCTTTATTGTGAAAAGAATCTACGACTCGTACATATTTGGCAATAATGAATTTCCCGCGAGGACTCGCTTGCACATAATATCAATGTTTGTACACATTTATCTAATACGAATAATGTGCGTGTATTTACAAAATACATGAGAATACTAGAACGTAAAAGTGCATCCATCAGTCATTTCTCTAGCACGCTTGAGAAGTACTGTATTGCGAAAACTTGCTTATTCCTTACGACTTTCGTTATGATAATTTGTGAGTATCGTGAGTATTCATGAGTATCCCAGACGCAGTAAGCTGAAGTATTATAAACGAGCGAATGCCGTATATTTTACTTGTTAAAATAAAAAAGCTTGTTAAAACGAAAGTTAAAATAAAAAAGCTTGTTAAAACGAAAAAGCAGTACAAAGGATACTTGGAGAATTTTTTGTTATTATGTTTTCTACATTAATTGGAACATTAGAACAAGCTTTCTTTATCATAAAACAATTGAACAATATCATAAAGCTGAAGAAAGTCTGCGGATAATTATAAAAGAAAAAGCTAGGTCGTTAAAGTGACTCATCCGCGGTTCTAGGATTCAAATTGCTACCGGTTTGGTGTTAAAGTAATATTAGTAAAATAAAGTAAATAGTAATAATAAACAAAGTAATATCCAATGAAGAATAGTGTAATAATAGGAATACATAGAAAGTGACAGCCTTATCACTAATGCATACCTGACCAGCTTTTTTTGATAGTATATAATAATAGGTAATAAAGAAATATGTAATAAAAAGGAATCACGATTACACGCTCTCATATTATGATAAAATAATGTGTGGATATCCCCGTTAACGTAAATCCTACGATCTATATCTTTCCCAGTTAAATCACGCACAGATCTTTCTCGTTGTTTAAAACTCGATTCGATTTATCGTGCAGCGCTACACGCGTCTCGCTTATCACGGTCGCGTTAATCACCGCTCGCTTGAAAGTTCGCCTTGCTATAATTGGGTTGCAATCGGTAATCTGCTGAAGGTCGTTTTGTGCATTTCTATGTCTCTTCACCGCCTGTCCGTGATTCCACGTTTTGATTTTCTCCATTCACAATTACACAGGGATTCCTCGTTAGACCGTTACATCTGGATCAATTAATAACCAAATCCCGATGTGATTGTCGAATCGCGAGTCACTCGACCAACGAACGGTGTCGTCGTTTGCAACATGGGAATCGCTTATCTGGGGAATCCGGCTATTGCGCGTGGATCGTCCACTTTCTCCAAATCTATCGACAAAGTTGTCACGCGAGTCATTATTAAACAATACTTCCAAATCACCGTTCTCATAGTGTACAGAGCCGTTGTTTGATGAGCGGACCGGATCGGGGTTTGCGCAAACGGTTCGGGCAAACATACGTCGGCGGACGTCGAGCAAACGCATAACTTATTCGAGACCCGCGGAATCGATACACGCGACGCGTTTACCCGGAGTTCGAATTTGTCGTCGCATCTGAGCCGTCCTCCTCGCGTGAGCGCAATTTCCTCAAACAGCGCCCCGCATCACTCGGCCGACGGAGCTGGTGGTTGGCGCGGATAACGATCTTTTACGAACTTTTACATCGTTCATCCACACGCCAGTCGGCGGAAATAGCCTGTCGATCGATGCCAGGCGTATCGGCGGCGCGAATGGAATTTTTTGTTGTGCTCTAATTGACTAGGCAACTATCGCGCACAGCGCGATGATACGACGGTAAAATGCAGCGGAGCTCAGCGAACGCGGTGATCCGTCACGGCGGAAACTAGCGGGAAACTGGCTCGTAAACCCGGCCAAACTGCTGCCGTCGATTTGATCATCGATCTGTATCGCGCGATCGAATGCGCAATCATGTTCCGGCGAAAGTACGATCTACTCGCTCTCGTATGGGCGATGACGATGACGGTCGAATTCGCGCGGTGCCAACTGATCAGGCCGCTCAGCGTGTACGAGGGTCTGATCAAAGACATGCACGATTACTTCAACAATACGTGCATCATACTGCTGCACACCAATACGAATCCCATCGAGACGCAGGGTGAGCACGACTCGATTCGAGAAGAGAACCGATTACGAATCGCCGAATCCGACTTTACACCTGTCGCTTATCTTCGCAGGACTCGCGGAAGGCGATGGCTTGCTGCACCTGCAGAGGCATTTCAGCTTGAAATTTAATATACGCGTCGTGTTCATGGATTTTCATATGTTCAATACACGAGTGAGCGCCAACAATGTGTTCTCCAGTATCGTCCGTGTTTATCTCAAGCTGGGTATACACTGAGCGAACGAACAGGGAACGAACAGCGAGTGCGGACTTTCGTCGTGGTGATTTGGAAAATCTGTACGCCATAGCGAATTCGAACAGAACATTTAGGGCTGATTTGCCCATAAGATGATTTATTAAAGAAAATTCGTGCGCGTTTAGACGCGAATATACACATTCGTATTACACATTCGCCGTTCGTTCGTGATTCGAACGTTCATTATACTCGAGTCGAAATTTTGCCTCCACATTACTTTTAGTCTATTTGGTTCTCCATTGTCTTCAAATGAAGAAAACGGAAATAACTTCTCATTTCTAGCATCAAAGGGAGCAGAATAGAAGACCTTTGAAAACTTAATGCAGAACTAAATAGACTTAACGTAAAAACTGAAATTTCGTCTCGGATATACTCACCTTTATGGGATGTTAACAGAAACATGAAATGAGATTATTGAGCTACACGTGTGTCTCCCCGCCTCTAAAAAAAAATTCTAATTAAATATTTATAAGAATTACAGTTAATTTTTGCTGGCACTCGTTTTGACAAAACTGCTATCTCTCTCTCTCTCTCTCTCTCTCTCACTTTCTTACCAAAGAAGAAAAGATTCGATTGTTTGCAGGTCGGACAAAGCTACCATCACATCAAGAGGCCTTTGTTCGTCTTATTAAACAGCCATGAAGATACGAGGAATGAATTTGCAAATGTAATTATCTCTTAGCAACTTTAAAAACGCTAATTAATGAGACCGTTGATGAAAAACGGCTGTCAGTAGTCATTAGGAAGTACAATCATTTTTATACATTTTTAACAAATTTTCTATGCATGTCATAGCTTTCAAGTAATAACTATTGTTATATTTTACGACCTACATAATCTTTTCTAAAGCTTGCATAAATAAAAGTAACAAAATATTCGTTTCCCACGTTCTTTTCACATTCTCAACATAGTATTTGTACTCGTGGGTCAAGTAATTACAGTGCTGTTTCACAGTGAAATTTCACAAAGAGAGCTTCCATCGCAATTTGTCGTATTCATAAAGCATGAAAATCCAAGGAAAATCTAAAGCGGACAGACGGCGTGAACGTTTATTTACCGAAATGCAGCAGGTCTCAACATGGATCGCGATGGCTTATCCCACCTGGCTGGTCTTCTTCGAGGACGGGCTCGAATTAGCAGACTTTTTCCTTGACATTTACATTCCCTTTGATTGTAAATTCATGGTGGCTCAAAGCAGCGCGAATGTCAGCGGCAGGGAGATCATCACTGAAGTTTATCAAGTTGACCGTGAAAAGGAACTGAGATCGAATCAATTCGGTGTGTGGGACATGGGGAAGGGCCTGAAAGGGCCTGAAACACGCAGCCTGTATTTCCGAAGAAACGATCTTTACGGCCAGAATATACGCGTTGCATCGATTCACGTAAGATCACCCGTTTCACTTTTCACAAGACCAAATAGCGGAATTAATAGCTCATTAATTGGAGGAGATAATTAATTAATCATATTATATCCTATATATGAAATTAACGATAAAGTTAATATGATTTAGTTCATCAATGAGCTCTTAAAGGATCTCTCGATCGATGAGATGGATCGATCGTTTATTATTCTTCTATTTATTATAAGCTGACAGCATTTTTATCAATTTCCGTTTGTACATATGGTCTCCCCCGAATTTTCATCATCTTCTTATGATGATATTTCAGTTAGAGAAAGAGTTAATAAGGAATCTGGAAGGCGAAAAGTTCGATATTCAGTATAGAAAATTTTATATATCTCGATAGGATCCTCCTGTTAGTCTGTTTCATCATAACCTGCGCAATGAGATAACAAGAATAAGTGGCTTTTTCGGAGAGGTGATTCTGCTATTGCAGGAGGGGATGAACTGCACGTGAGTACTATGAGACGAGGAGAAAATATATCGCGTGAAGAAAGTGCTACAGTTTCATTTCGTTAGAAATTAGATTTTATTGTGTTAAATTTATGTTTAATTTTCACCACATCTCTCCCTGTTTTTCCCCGTTGCCTTATCCGATTCCTCTGCTATTCGCTTTTTCTTCTCCGCTTTACGGCGCTCTAGCTGCTCCTTGAGTTCCTTCAGTTGCCTGGCGGTCTCCTTTCGAAAATATAATTCCTCGCTGGCGGCACCCCTTTCCTCGAAGATGTCCCTCTTTCGGCCATCGCCGCTTCTTCGTCGTCTTTCCGAATAAGTCCTCGAATCGCGTGACATGCGATGTCTAAATTACGTATATCATTTCGGTATATTGTCTATCGATGAAAATAAAAAAAGTCAACGATATCGTTAATTAAAACAAGAGGTTACATAACAGTCCTCAATCTCTTCAATCTGATGCATCTCGCAGCAAGAAAGCGCAGCATAATGTTGGTCACCGCTTCTTCATTTTACATTCCTCCTCTTCCCTTGCTCTCATTCTCAAATTATTGAATCCAAACTCGTTAATGTCATTTGAACGGTGAAACTAATAATTTTGACACAATTTCAGCCATCATTCCTAACTTTCATTTCGACAGCTTTCGCCGTGAAGCTTTCTCTATCTCAAAAATAACTCATAGTTAATCTCGTCTGAAATTAGCTTGCGATGAAGTACAGTTCAAAATAGAGTTTATCTCAAACTTGTTTCAGATTTACATACAAGGAGGCCAAAACGTGGGGCACGTGTCTATCAAACGGCACGTGCACGGGCGCAATCGGGATGTTGATGAACAACGAAGTCGACTTCGCGGCGTCGGAATTCATGATGACTTCGGACAGATTGGGAGTCATCAGTTTCACGACACCCATTTACACGACAAAGTAACATATTTCTGTTGTCTATTAATTTCATTCCGTCGCTTATTCTGTATTATCGTCTTTGTTATTCTTTTATCGTCACTGGATAATTTCACAGTCCCTCTTCTTTTGCCAATTCGTATACAAATGAAATTCACGATAAATGTCGTGCATACGAATCTGTTCAAGATGTCGTACGTACATTAAGAAGCCAGCATCTTCAAATGTGAAGTGGAACGCTTACACGGCACCGTTCTCAGCGAACACGTGGAACGTCATAGCTTTCTTCATAGTGATTATGAGCGGGTCAATCGTTCTTGTACAGAAATTGTTCGCGCTGGCAACCCCGTGTCCGGACGACGACCGCTTGCCGACGAGATTCACAGAGATTCTGTTTTATGTCATAGGAGCGTTTTGTAGTCAAGGTAATTCTGATTTGCTCGCGCTGTTCTTTCCTTATATGACGATAATTTTAATGTATAATCGCCTATCACACTACGATATCATAAGGTATGGAACAGTCTTCTCTGGACCCCGTGAGAATAGTGCATTTCGTAATACACATAACAGCCGTCATAATCTTAGCCGCATATTCCGCTTCTTTGATCAGTTTCCTCGCCTCGAAGAAATTTGTTATGCCCTTCACGACTATGGACGGTCTCTTGAAAGACGGAACCTACCGTTTCGGCGTGGTTGGTGATTCAGCCGATTATAGTTTCTTCCAGGTAAACATACGTCTTCAAATTGTTCCTGAGATCAATTCAAGACACGGAGGGGAAGCATGTCGCATACTCGACTCAAGATGTTGCCCGCTTTATTGTTAGGGAAATACACTTTCAATTTGCACAAATAAAAAATAGCAATGTCACGTGAGATTATGTCGCGATGGATACATCAACGTCTTTTGATTCTTATGTTGAAATTTTTTTCTTGATTATGTTTGAAAGTGTAACGTTTATCCGAATAATCACCGAAGACATAAAGACCGCGTTTATGAATGATTTCGCACATAACGCTTTATAGCGATTTATAATCATTTTCTCGCGTGACAGAACACGTCGGACAAAATACTCAACGTGCTGTTTGACGAGTTGTTAATGAAGGAGACTAATTTGCCAATCAATTATATGGACGGCTTGGAACGCGTTTGCAAGGAGGATAAATACGCTTTTATGACGCTGGACAACATGGCAGCGATATTGCGGGACAAAGTCGACTGTGATTTGGAACCATTGGATGCTATCACGCAAATTACTATAGCGATGGCTTTGCGACCCAATAGCCCGTATCGTGGTATCATTAATACAAAGTAAGTCCAAGGCTTGTTAATGTAATTTTGACGTAAGATATTGCATGCTTTGTAGTAAAAATGTTCGACGTGTTGTTGCAGTCTTCTTCTGCTAAGGGATAGCGGAATTCTACAGCGCTTGCTGGAAACACAATGGTCGGTCCATCTGACTGTAGTGAGTATGCTTTCGTTTTATAATTTGATTAATTATAATAATTAATCTAAATAAACTTGATTTTTTAATATGTCATAAATTCACTCAAAAATTGAAAAATTGAACTGTTCGAACTGTGAAACTGTTCGATTGACAATAACATATCCATTCGGTGAAATTTCATCGAGAAAACTTCATGCGATTCATAAGATAGAATTTTTCCTGTGAAATAATTATTCAAACGAAACGATGTCTGCTGATTTCTTTCAACTTGCAACAAGAATAAGAATTCTTTGAGTGATGTCCATCGTTGATCGCAGAGAAAATCATCGTGGAAGTCGGTCGAGATCGGCGATATTGTACCGCTGCTGCTTCTTATGATCGCCGCTTTGTTCGCCAGCTGTGCTGCCAACATCGTAGAACATGTCGTCTACAAGAGTTTCCTGAAACAGAAGCAATTAAGAATTAATAAACGATAGCAACTGAACATGTAAATAAAATATTGCGTTGTTACATTTTCGTTTAATAAAATTCAACGGATCTCATAGCCGTTTGATGTCAATCATTATTGTTTTGCCCATTCTACATACGATCAGATATAAATAGCAAATACATTATTCCATATTTCAAATCTTAACCGCGTCATGTTTATAAACTCAACCTCACAACATTGTGTAGGTCAGTAAAACGAATAGATCACGTCAATAGGAACAAGATTAAGCAAAAACCGTCGCAGATTCTATATTAGAGGAGATTTACTGAAATTCTTGCCAGTTGTTCTCACACTCGTGAGCGGAACAAAGATCTTGTGCTCAAATTATATTTTGTACATTTATCATCGTCGAAATCTTTATTTATACCTTCGTTAGATCTGTCGCTTTTCTTGTCACTAGGTTAATATATAATCGACTTATATATATATATATATGTATATATATATATATTATATCGTATGTGATAATTGATTATAAATTGTTCTATGTGCGCAACTTACGAATATAAAGCCATGTCGGGAAATTCTCATTGGACGGAATTTCGCAGAAGAAAAATCTCGAAGACTAAATTGTCTGAGGACAAAGAAAACGAATTTTCGAGTCAAAAAGCATTTGTCGGAAATAAAGACGATGCGGAAAAAAAGAAAAGATTTTCAGCAGGCGTGGAAAATCAGAAAAAAGATATTGCTCTTACGATGTCGGTACAAAAGTTGTCCATCGCGAACAATACACAATTTCAAATTTATCGCGATGATAACGATAAGAAGGAGAGATCACGTTCGCTCGTACGAAAAAGCGCGTATAGAAACGAAAGAAGGAAGACGAAAGAAAAAGTCCGGAAATCACCAGATTGCATGAAAACGCTTGAAAGAGAAGCACTCAATCATTCCACAACACCTGCTGGTTTGCAAAGGTGAGGAACGTCTTGAAAAATTTATCTCATTTGTAGGAGAGAAAATACATCGAGAGTGTTTGCTGTGTCGGGAATTGAACCCGTGATCTTTCGCTCGATGGGAGACTGCTTTTAAGCAGTAAGCTACACAAACCCCTATCCCGATGTGTTCTCTTTTCTTTTCTTATGTGTTGTTATTATCAAAATGATTTATTTATATGCTTTGCTTGATTTTTTACACACCGAGAATAATATATTGGACGAACTCAACACTTTGCTTCGTTATTGTATCTTTAATTCGCATATCTAAGAGAAAGTCTGGAAACGTGTTACTAATTTGGACGAATTTAGATATGTTGTAGAGAAGTCAAAGATAAAAGACACGTACTTTTTTAATAAGCACTTATATTCATATGTTTAGAGATTGAAATAATTTCTCAAAATTAGTTCACATACATTTGATCATAAATTAATGTTTTGAAAAATGTGAAGTATGAGAAAATCACTTATTACTATTCATTCATTATTTTTATAAATCTCATAATTTTTGTAAAGATAAAAATTAAAGATAACTTTACATGGTACTTCGGCTAGACGATATATATATGATATTTATAGAGATTGAATTAGATTTAAAATCAATGAAAGTCACTTCCAGATATTCCCCTGTAAGTTGTTAACATTAGGATGTTCAGGTAATGTTTAAAAATTAAAAAGAAAAATGAGTTATTTTTTGTGTCACAGAGCACATTCTTTGAACTGCAACGAAAACAGAGTTTCTTTAATTGGAGAAAATAAATCGACTGTCATGTTTTCACGAAGGTAATTCTTTGTATATATATATATATATATATATATACGATATCAAATATTATTATTAATAATTTATCGCATATTATAATATAATTTACGATTAAGAACTAATCAATTATTTTCAATATATAATCATTTACTAGAAATAGATATTTTTTTTATAATCAGTTACTTAAACATCAATTTTTTGGTTCGATATATCACCTATTATTAGTTACTGTAGAATGTACTACTTCCACTTACGCAATATATTTTTTAATTGTACACCAATACTTTGTGGACTAAATCTCACGTAAAAAGAAAGAAAGATATATTAATCGATCATTAATCGGCCGTCTTCAGATCTTGTTCCGAGAACAGAAAGTCTTCGCAATATAAATTGCATCCTTCGGTATCGCCGATATCTCCGAAAATCAAGCATCTCTCAAACGATGTGAAGAAACGGACGTTATCTAGTATCCAAATGTGGAAAGATAAGATGAGAAAGTTGCGCAGTTAGTTCTTCATGAGTTTAATAGTCATTGAAATTTATCTCTCTCACATCTCTTCACATACGTATCTTTTTAGTTGACACTATGCCTAAGAATACTTCAACTATATATTCTGCTGCTATGAGTGCGAATGGGACACGTGCCAAAATTAAACGAACAAACAGTTGCAACATTGATTCCCTTCCCGAAATTTCGCGTCATGAATTCGATTTAGCGCGATGCGATGTATCTAGTAGCGAGATATCAAGTAATCGGATGACTGATATAAATGATTATACTAAATCAGATAAAATTTATAACAATTCAGATCTTTTACGAACCATAGAGAAAGCGGTAGTAACGTACATGTCGGGCGAACTCGATACGATTCCGCCAACTGCGATCTCTTTGAATATACAAGTTGGCGCGAGGTAAACTATAGAAGACAATTTGTAGAAGTAAGAGCGGAAAATAGTAAACAGAAATTGTTCTGTCGTCATTGTTATCGATCGTACAGGCTGATATTTTGCCTGGTTTGGATTATCGCAAACATATTTTCAGGGCGCATGCTCGAGATAACAATCAACAATTTACGGAGGAAGAAAAGCTAGATGCTAACTATAAAACATCTGTGGATAATTCTTTCACACGACCATCGACTTCAGCAAAGGTAGGACAAATAATGAAGCAGTCATATTATATCGATACATCTAATTCTCAATATATTGCCTACGATGTTAATTGGCTGTTAATCTGATGTACTCAATTAAATATATAACTCTTTCTCGGATTTACAGATTTATAGATAATTATATATATTTTTGTGGTAGTTTATTATTATTTTAATATTATTGTTATTATTACAATATTTATTTTTGTGTCAATGGAATAGATATACTGGTTTATTTAATTGCCTATTTGCTGCAATATTTAAAGGAATATTTGCATCTTTTACGAAGGTAAATTACGAGCAAGACGAGGTGACAAGTCAATTCTCAACCAAGAAGGAAAATTTAGAACGTATTGACGGATCACTATACGAAACTGATTATTTGATGGAATTGCCAGATACGGAACGCGAGAGGGAGGAAAACACTCCGAAGCTTTCCTTCAATTTTCTGCGCGAAAATATAAACGCGCAACAAAGAAGAGTTATCGTGGGGTATCTCATTCGTCTTGGCGTAAGTTTAACATAGATCAACGCCGTCTGATAGGCATTCGCGATTGTATCTCTTTTTTGGTGGAAGAAAGAAATGCGAGGTGCGTGTTGGATATCATTCTGAGACGGACATGTGATAATTGCACGTGTAAACAAATAATACAAAAGCAGTATCGGTAGAAGCTCGGTGAAAGAAAGAAACGTGACAAATTGACATAAGATGCTCATCTCGCAAATCGTGAGCTTACGATTTCTGACTGTGATAATTTTTAGACACATTGTAACTACGAGTCATCTATCGTTTACCAAACTGTCAAGCTGTTCGATATCGCTATTGACAGAATCAGGGTAAACACGGAACAAATACAGCTGATGGCTTTGGCGTGTCTCTGGATAATTCTCAAAAGAGAATTATCTAATCATAAAGTACCATCGGTAATTCAATTTTATATTATTCACAAACAAGAAATATGTATACGTATAAGTTATCGTCATTAAAGTAGTTATATTGTAATATCGACTAATTGGTTTGTCGAGTAATATTAATGAAAAAAAAATTAAATTAAATTATTAAATTAAATTATTAATTAAATTTAATTAAAGGTAAAAAAATAAAATTAATGAGACTAAACAATTCATCACGATACACTTGCTTTCTCTCTCAGACAACCCAGATATTGGCACTGGCGAAAGATGTGTACAAACATAAAGAGGAATGCTTGTTAAAATTCGAGAAGGAGATACTTTTAGTTCTCAACTTTAACGTTCGGTTTGCCGACCCGTTCTCGTTGCTTATGTATCATATATCGAGCTTGAATCAAATGACTCAATATCTCAGTCTACACGATATAAAATGTGTCTACTTTTGCGGTAGCTATCTGGTATGGATATAAAAATATATATCACACACACACACACACATACATTTATATAGCAAATGATAATGTAATTTTTAATACGTAAATGCATTCATGTGGATAAATCAGTGATTTTCTCCCTTGTAGATTGATTTATCTATGTTAGAAGAAAACTTATGCAGTATGTCGGTATTCGTAATAGCAATAACTGCTTTCGAATTGTCGCTTGATTTCGTCCTCGCATCCAACGCAAATGAGACGTGGGCTAAATTTGTGAGCAACAAAGATACACTCGCAATGTAAGTAACTTAACGAATGGACGCGAAACTAGCATCGTTTATAACGCAATGATTATCAAAAATGAAAAAATATATGTCGATGTGTTACAATTATTGCTTTCAGGGAATACGTTTTGTAGCACGTGTGCGATTCTAAACTTGTACAGCTTTTATTTTTAAGATGTAGTCTAGTTGTTCATACAAAAATGCCTTTTATCTTCTTCTGAATTTTTACTAACTCGAGATTCGTCCATTTTAGATGGGAAGAGGGACAGATACCTTTGATTGAGCAAATTTTGATGAAACTGCTCCTGCAATCAGACAAGTCTGATTGTAAGGCTGTGTACAAGAAATATCGGCACAGCAGATACGGCGGAATCTCCGACTTCCTTTTTCAGAATGCTCAGAAAGTTCACAAAGAAATTTTTAACGTAAGAACATAGAATAATATGTATAGTTTTATTAGTTTTTATCCATTTTGATACTTGTGTGGTAGTGCACATATCGTAACGTACAGGTCACGATTCGTGCAGATTATAAATGTATCCAACTTTTTATACCTTAATATTTTTATATCTTAATATAATTTTTATACCTTAAATTCTTATACCATAATAAGTGTCTAACTTGAAGAGATTTTGTAAACTTGAGTCGTATTATGATGTACACTTATGTTCGAAAAAATATATACTTTTATTGTTGCAAGCATAAAGAAACGGGCGTTTCATTCGTCATCTTCGGCATCGAAAGATTGGCGATCGGCATTGAAGCGTACAATCTCTATCTCGTCTAATCTCGGCAATATTACATTTGCCAGTGCACAAATATAAGCGCGGTAATCGAAGATGACAGCGGTTTATTTATGCAACGTCTTTTTACGATATACACAAGCCACTGATATGGCTACAACCTAACATTGATTATTTCTCAGTAACGAGAGTAGCAATATCACATGTGGCATGACATACGTCAAAGATAATTAGATGGTATTAAACGCACGCGTCAAATTTCAATGATTGCCGTAGTCATTCTTGTAGTCATTCTGGATGTCCGCCCAATCGTTCCATATGTTCCATGTGTTGTCGATGGACATCAATCCTTTAACGTCATCCTAAAGACAATGCGACACGCTATTTAATGGCAATTACTTATTTGTACATTCACAAATATTCATCAAAAAGAGGAAAAACGCGTCTCTGTTTTATTTCATCTTTCTCATTTGAAAGGTAATTGGGGAACTATTAATTGTTCTAACTGACAGAGAAGGAGCTTCTCTTACCTTGAACAATACGTTGCGCTTCTCGTTCCAGGCGCCAAACAGACGCAGAAGATCCGGATGCTCGGAGTACAGGGTGCTGGCGGCTAAAATGCCGTGTTTCAGTTCCTCCAGAGCGTTTGCTGACTTCCCGGCCGAACTAACGATTACTCTCGGCGCCTCCAATCCCAGATTACAGCGTTCCCATTCGTTGATGGGCGCGTGGCCGCCGTCGGGGCAAAGCAACAAGTAATCTTCGCGTTTGCCAGCACCGTATTTCTCGTTATCTGTAATAACGTTAATAATCATGAAGTGACAAGTGCGATTGCATTTAATGTACTTGAATTAAATAGCGGTTTTTACCCAGCTGCATCAAAGCCGTGAAAGACAGGAACGCGACGTCTCCCTTATCGTCCTTGAGACACCTGGAAGGAAACGAGCAAATTAAGCTCTCCGGTTGACTCAAAAGCTTCACGCTAATTATATGTATTCGTGTAAATACGCGAATATTGATAATTGATCGAGGAATATTACCGAAGCGCTCCCAGTCCGCTATTGTAATATTCGGCGTCCGTCGCCTTGCACTTTGTGGCTTTTATCACTTCGTCGTTACCGGACTTGATGTTGCCGACGCACAGTTCGCAGGACTTGGAGTCGCGGGGTGCACCAGGTGCGCAAGATGCAGAAAAGAAGTCTTCTATCTCGTCCGGTTCGCTGATGAGACCTTTCTTCCTGAGGATGTGAACTGGTGCGATGGTACCGGAGAAGTCATGTCCATAGCCACTGCGGCAGGCTTTCTTGCCTCTGAGATCGCCTGTGAACCGGGACATCGTGACACAATGTCATGACGCGTGCCGCGAAATCGTATATACACAGAGAAGAAGAGCTTTGGGTTTAATAGAATTTTTTCAATTGAAAAAAAACTTGTCTTTTAAAATAGAGGAAACAAACGAATGTTTGATTCAACAAAGAAGATTGTTTGGTTTTTCAAACAATAAATATCTCTCCACCTTCTCTTTCTCTCTCTACGTCAAATGACATATTTCTTTTATATTTTCATTCAAATTACAATGGTTGTCACAAACAATAAATTATTTGAAAGAACGCTATGTTAGAAAAATATTAAAGAATTTCTTCGTTTCAGCAAAATATTATTTAATATATAATGAAATAATTTTTTGATCGAAAACGAAATATTATTTCCTTTAAATAACACCGTTTTTTTTAAATTAACATAGTTTAATCTAGTGAAACAACGACACTTTCATTTGAACAAAATGGCGTTTGATGTTAAATGGTGTTGTTTATATTAAACAAATCCAAGAGTCAAAGACATCTATTAAATCCAAAGAAATCTTTTTCTCTGTGCAGACTCATCAGTACGTTCAGATTTACACACCAAATCCATTTATGGGCGATCCATTTTTGATGACAGCGACTGGAGCTCGCTCGCCGTGTCTAGTCGATCCATCGCCGTAGGTTTCAGCGACGATCGGTTTCGCGTTGTAATCTTTTATAGCGAGCTTCACCGATCCACCCTCGATCACAGTTATGTCCGCTCCGTTGTCCCTGACGGCCTTCAAACAAGCATCCTGGTCCTTCTCCAATATACAGTCGAATCTAGGCCTGGCGTCTCTGTAATATATATTCAACACCGTCTAATATCATTTCGAGTAAACTTTACAGTTGATATAAAACGCAATTGACTCGTACGTTTTCCGGGATAAGTTCACACATGATGCGATTAATCTTCGTTATATAGTTATATTTTTATATGCGTTCAATGTGTCACCTGGAAAACGCGGCTCTGGCGAGACTGCGGCACTTCTCCAGCGCGCTCGCATCCCAGACGCACCAGCGAGCGTCCCTTTCGGGCGCCCCGGAATTCCTCTCGATCACGTCCATGTATTTCGCGCTCTTCAGGTGCTCCTCCGGGGGCACTGGCGGTGCGGCGACGGCCAAGGTCTTCTCGTCGAGCAACAAGAGATCCTTCCACCAATCTGCCTTCTCGTTCTCACCGAGCTGACCCAGCTGTGTCAATTCCTGAAACGTTTCGAAATTCAATGAACTTAAGTTAAATGCGACGTTACGAGAGTTCTAAATTCCGTGCTTTAGGTGGACGTAGATGCGCTGCGAGCGGACATTGTCTCGCTAATCTCGAATGAGCGAAAGACGTAGTTGAAAGAAATATGTGTGCTTTATTTTTGCCTTCTCTACGACGCATCCCAAGGTTTACCGAAATCAATGAAGGAAATTTTCTTGTAAGAAATTTCCCTACCCTTTGAATAGCTTCCACGTTGTTGGCATCGTCCCCGTTGGTCATGTATCCTTGCCACGGTCGAGCGGCCCACGTGCACGGCTTCGTGTTGGCGTCGATGGGGACTTTGCTGCCATCAGGACAGAAGTATCGGAAATCAGCCGGATTCTCTGAGGTGGGCATCGCCGGTGTGACCCCGACGGGCAGGCCGAAGAAGCGCTTCACGTAGATGACCTTCGTCCAGGCGACTTCGCCGCCGTTGTGAGCTAAACAACGCAACGCGCCCTCATATCCGGAGTATATGTCTGGATAATCACACACGCTGGGTTTCTCGCAAAGAGCGCACATGTTGCTGTATGTTTCCTCTGCGAAATATGAAATATCGTTAGATGTTGTTGAGACTGAGAGCGAAAAAGCATTCATGGTTGAAGACAGCGAGGAAATCGTAGTTTCGAGTCTCTCGAGTTGACGCGCGAAAGTTACGAGCGACAGGATTCCCTCCGCGCGATTTTATTCCCGACAACGATGCGGACTCGATTCAGCAAATACGTCGGAATTCACGGAAGTGGATAATAAAGTAAACGCAATATCGCAGGGGACCTCATTTCGTCATCTAATTTCATCTCGCCGCTTGACTTGACGCATTCGATCGCACCATACGTGTTTCGTCTGTAGCTATCGTTCACGCTTCCTTCCATTTGCACAACTGTGATGTACCCGCATGTATATACAAGACACGAAATTAGCTTATGTCGAACGCGGCACGTCGGCTTACACAAGTGTCGCAGCTAACAAAATTGTTTGTCGGCGACTCATCCACGTGACATAATCGACATACGTGACATAATTGACTCAAGTTTCGCAGATTGCCACCACTTACTGAGCCTTTGATTGATCGCGGGATCGGGCGACCACGTGCCAACCAGGCAGCCTTTGTCGAAGAGTGTGCTCAAAGCGCGAAGCTCGTTCTCGCGAGCGGAATATTCCGGGTTGTTGACATCGGTCAGCACACCCATCGCGGTAAGCTTCGTGATGGGAATTTTGTAACCGACATTGCGGCCTACACCGGTGTGGCAGGACTTGAGGCCCTTCAGCCCTTGAACGTTGTCGATGTTCAAGTCCTTATGTATCACGGCCACCGCCTCGTAACGATATATCGCATCGGGCTCCTCCTTTGTCCTCACCTGATAGATAAATCAGGCAAGAAAAAATCTCATTATGCACACGTAATCGCTGCGACTTGAGAATTTCAATGATCGTTGCTCGTCTCAGGCTCGCACGTCCAATTCGATCTCGATGACTGATTTTCCATCGACTTAATAATTACGAGACCTTTTCATCGATATGCAAAGGAGAATCGACGCTACATTTTGTTAACATCATGTCGATGAATAGTCGATATCTAGCTATCTGTGAGATACGTAGAAGACATGACACAGGTGTCGATCGATTATTGACGACCTAGTTGGTATCTAGTCGGTATTAGATCCATCGTTAGATTCATGTATCAACTTCATGTGTAAATACGATGTGAACTGAATAACAATTAGATCATCGACATTTACATATCTTCCAGATATCGTGACGAATCTTACAAATAGCAAATCGGACATTGACTCCCGCGTGATTTCGATTTGACTTCGACATGATTTCTACCGGATTCCTCATCGACATCTGAACTCGGATGAACGATCATCAGACATGTACATTTTTTGAGGACGAACGAATAATGCCTACGGGAACGGATTTTTTCCAATTTTCCCGTCAACTTCGGGTTATGGTAGGTTTTTAAAAATTACCTGCTCGACAACGTTGTAGCCGGCCGTCTCAGCCAGTTTGTTCTTTGCCGCGAGATACATGTCCTCGGGATCGACGGCGACGATATCCGCTTCCTTCTTGCCGACTCTTTCGACGCAATCGTATCGATCGCGCCCGGAGATGCATGTTATGCGTATGTGGTGGTTTTGACTGGACGAATCCGCCATCATCTCTTCGCACTCCTTCGAGTACTTCTCCGGGATGCACATCGTGACTGCAATAACGAACGCGCGTACTAAGAATTTTCGGATGCTGAAAAATTCTATTTTAAATTCTAATTTAGAGAAGATGGGGGAAAAAACGAAGAAACTGAAACTTGTAATCCCAAGACCATGTCTTTTCTAATATAATAAGTAAAATATGAAAATTTAAAACGCGCGCGCGTAATTCCGGTGCGATCGAAACTTGACGATTGAAGACAACACAGCGATAGATACGTGAGAGTTCCCGAGGATGTCCGAAATGTTTTATCCGTTCCATGATAAATAAATTGTCGCTTTCTTGACACATTTTCCTCGGTCGGCTGTCAACGGTCAACTGTCAATCCAAGGGGTACTTACATACTCGTTCCGAGGAGGCGGCGACGGACGCGGCCGTCACCGCGAGGACCGCCAGCACCGTAAATCCGCGCTGCATCTTGGCTCGCGGCGGAAACGGAAACACCGGTGAAATTTTCACGAAGTCCGAGCGGGACGAAAATCGTCGAGAAAAAAGCGAAGAGGAACCAAGCTAGGACCCAGACGAGAAACTGGTCGCGACGACTCGTCAAGATGGTTCGGAGCGGCGGTCTACGTACGTTCTTATATAGGTGCGTCTTCTTCTTCCTCAGATTTCAGCTTCGGAAGAGGAGGGGAAAGAAGAAGGAAAGGAGGGGGGGAGAGTTTCTCTCTTTTCCCTTCGTGTCTCTCCTCGTCGTTCTCCCTCTCGGCGTTCTCCGCCGCTCGCTCTTTCTCCGTTGGTTTCGCACGATAACGTCATCGTCGTCATTATCTATTCCTCGCCTCCTCCGTGGCGATGGTACTCTCCGGTTCCGTCCGCGTATCGCCTTTCGAGGAAGACAGGTTCTTCCCTGCGTCTGCGACAACTCGATTATGAAAATTGTTATCGAGGTGACACGCGACGAACAGGAGCTCCTCATAGTCGATGAAATGGTTCTCCTTCGAAACGTCGAAACGATATAATACAGGGAAAGAGAGGCCTCGAATCTTTGTTTCGTTGCTACGAAACCTACGAAATTTTTCTTTACGGTCTGTTCGCGACAGTGTCGCAACGGATAAGAATAAGCTAGCGATATGAAATTTAGTATCTAAATAAGTATCTATAAAATTTAATATCTTCTCTGTATTCATGATACAACATATATTACATCTGCTCATCGGTTACCACTTTTATACAATTTTATACCATTTCCTCGATGTCCTTTACCGGTTATTAAAAGTTATATAACGGTTGAAGAACAGTCAACGAATAATTAAAGTACTGAATATAAGTTAAAGAGTGCGCAATTACAAGTATTGAGAACTAATTGGCGCCAGCTTAAATTAGCATCACAAAACGTTCTTTTCCAGGGAATGAGAAGAATTATCTCATTTATTATTGTTTATTTCGGGCAATAGTAATAAGAAGTAAAAATCTTCCTCGAGACGACCCAATATACTCGTCGAGATGCGGTAAAAGGTATTCGCGTAACATTTGGATCGTGTGTCGCGAGAGAGAATGATGTCTGATCAGGTTCTGGTCTTTCGGCCGACAGAGAGAGACAGAGAGAAAGAGAGAATCATTTCGATTTTCAACAAGGATCAGTCTTCCATCCGCGGAATAGTACAGGACATTCTGTATGTACAGGAAGATAAATGCTGAGACATAAATGCCGTCGTCAGACGTGGATCTGCCGTAGTCGTTAAAATTCTCGGTAACTTTCCAGGATGGGTTCCTTGCTCCGGTCTCTGTCTCCGATAGAGTCGCCGAGGGAAATCCTTGAGGCAATTTTTCTCCACTTGCTGACCACTTCTCCCGGCACGCTTGCGGGTCTCAAACGTTCCCCGGCCTCTGTTTGGCGAATTTGCGTCCTTCGCGGCCGCTCCTCGGACGCGACATGCACGCTTGTAACTACGTAAGTACGCACGCCGTTCTCTGCGTGTTAATTTCCAATGCGACAACGGAAACGCACGGAGATCTTTTGTTCACATCGAGGAAACCGTCGACGGGTAATTCCACCGCGCGCGTGAGGTCACGCGGCGCCGATTCCAGAACTCTCTCCGTTCTCCTTCACCGATAGATCGTAAGTTAGATAAAATGGTCCACACGTAACGCGAGCACACGCTTATCCTCGTCGTTACAAAACAGCGGCCGATAAGTGTGTAATCTCCGGATTCGCGTAATAAATGATATCAGAGTTACTTGATAATGTGCCGTACTGCAAAACATATAGTTGCTACACGCAATGAAAATAGTTGTTTTAAAAAAACACTTTTTAAAAACAGTTTTATCTCGCCAGGCCAGCTAAAATACTCTGTCTGCGAAATTTCGCGCAGAAAATTAAAAATGCTTAATTGCTTACATTTAACGAGTGATTCAATTGAAATAATTGCTAATTCATAGCGGACGACATAAAACGATAATTTATTTTTTCACTAAGATTGTCCGAGAAGCTGTGGCCGAGCTCAGTTGAGAATCATCGGATCATCGTTGAAATTTTAATACTTTTTTACATTTTAAATATAAGATACTCGTAACGTTCTTGTTTTTCTAACTCTGTGGTCGAGAGACTTAATGTTCGTTTTATGTAGAGATACTGATGCGATATACATTTTCCTCGTTCTTTTCTTAGGAGTGGGAATTTTCCTATAAAACTGACACATGATTCTTCGCACAAGATCGAGATCGAAATAATAAACATCCACAATATATGAAGCTAATTCGACCGCCGCAATCGCTTATGCAACTGATTAAGAATGCATCCGATGCGTCCGATGCACTCGGCGCAACCAACCCTCGTCTTTCTTCCTTTCTCTTGCGTATACACGTGTCTTTCTTCCCTCGAATGTATAAATTGTACAAGTTTATTAATAGCGGGAAAAAAGATGTAGCATCGATATTTGTCAACACGGCAAAGTATTATTTGCCGAAGGGACAATATAAATTTACGTTTTGCTTCTCAGGGTCGGATAAGTTCGCAACTTCAAAACTTCCAGACGAGCGTGCAAGATTAATAGCTGTTCGTAATTATTCTCGACTTTCATGATAAGCCTAGTACGCCTGGCGATCATCGCTAGTCTCAGCCTTCGAGATTTTTCGTCTTTCTCGCGACACGGATCGTTCAGCATTCTACGACACTCCTCGACATCCGATGACTTTCCTCTGATCTCCTTTAATATTCTGTCGGTTTTCCTCCTCCACTTGGCCGACAGCAGTTTCGCTTCTCTCAGACGTACCTGTTCCAGCTCCAACAACCCGCGAAATTTCTGAAGCACAGATTTAATTAGATTAGACAATTTTTCCGAATTATTAATAATGAATACCCACGTTTTGAAATACTCGCACATTGGCTCGCGTCTTTTCGTAATCCTCCAGATTTACGCTGCGAGGATCATTGGCCAAGTGTTCGAGAACGTTTCTCGTGATCTACAACAAAAAAGGATTATAATGTCTGTGTCTTTCTAGTTATACACTCCAAATATATACGTGACTGCAGCATGTATTTAGAAACTCACGCAACTCCTAATAATTAATATAATCGTAATTAATTAAATAATCCTCATTAAGAATTTAATTGATTTTTCATAACCTTTCTTTTGCCTTTTTATTACAATTCCTCTTTCATTCGATTTCTCTTAATTCGATTTCTTTTTGTACGTTATACATTATCAGATTGATACTTATACACTAAAGGGGAATATTTTCCCCTGAATAAATAAATAAATAAACAAATACTGGGAATTGCATAACTAGATCTGAAAAATAAACATCGTCTCATCAATCTTCACAGAGGATATACCTTGAATTGCCGAACGTCTTTCAGCTCTTGTTGCAGGTCGTCCAACATCATCCTGGCGCAAGCGTGTTGCCATTCGTGCTGCGACACGACCTTCCGCAAGCGTATGGATCTGCGCATCGCCGCCAGCTTGCGTTTCCCGGTTTCGACAATGCAATCGTTGACTCGTAGAAGTTCCTCGCGAGTCACGAGAACGGCGTTCGCGTAATCGGCGGGACTGCCTCGCAGTGGGACCTCGATCTGGCCCGTTTTCAAGACGAGTTGCACCTCCACCTCTTCCGCGAGTTGCGTCAAGGCCTTCTCCATGTCGTCCAGGTTGACCTTCTTGCACGCCACGACGTTATCGGTCGATTGCATCGCCTTCTGATAAAACGACAACGTCTGCTCCGCCTCGGCCATCTCCACCGCGCAGCACCTCACCTTCAACATTACCCACGTTCTTTGCAGCGCTTCCACTTTCCATTTCCTTTAATGGTCAGCTCGAGACGTTTATTAGCAAAGCGACATGTTCCCACCTTATTTTGGACTCTTTCTATCTCGGAATATTATAGCCCGGAAATCATTATTTCTCTTATCTCTGATATATCGTTTTGATGGAAATATATCGTTAACATGGAAATTGCACTATAGTGCAAATTTAATAACAAAATAATGGAACCAGCAGGATTTTAACGAGTAAATCATAATTGTCGAGCAATATCAAAGTTCCTTCACGCATTTATAATAATGAGTAAAAAAATATCCTTAATTGGGGTTGCTCCAAAATTAAATCACTCTGAAAATGAAAAGTGAAATCGAGAATAAAAATTGGTAATATACAAATTCCTCTTCCTCTGAGCTGATTAGACGGTACTTCTCGATCACGGAAAGCGCCGAAACAACGTTTTACAGTAGTTAGCCTCTCACCTTTGTCTCCAGCTCGACCTTCGCTCTCCTCAGCTTGCACATCGTCCGCCAATGATTGACGTTGATCTGCGGCGGTAGATTTCCGGGCATCGTGTCCAACACGTCCATAGCTCTGAGGAAGTCCAGACACTCGCGTGGCAGGATCTCGGACTTGTCACCGCTCGTGATACACTTGGCCATCTCCGTCAGATACGTGACGGACGTGGTGGTGAGCCGACCGAATCTAGGCCGCTTCTTGTAGTGTCTGAGCAGGTGTTCCACCATCGGCTGCTTCAGCTCCACGAATTCACCACGGAACTTGGTTTCTTGGCGCTTCTCAGCCTTGCAGAGATTGTCGTATCGGACTTTCAACTCCGACACGACTGTCTCGAGCGAGTTGCATTCTTCGACGAGTTCGCGTGCCTCTCGCATCACCGGTGCCAGTTGCTCGTCGGTGAAGCGAACGATCTCCTGTTTGCCATCGGCCTCGTCTCGGTGCTTTCGAATCGCTCGTATTCTGATGGATCTCTCTTGGAAAATCGCGCATTCTATCTGCATCTTCTTCAGTTCGAGTTCCTTCAACTTGTCGTTAAACACCGAGATGTCTCTTCGCAGGGCTTCTAGAAAGTACATTTCTCGACTTACAAGTCTGTTTGTGATTTCCCTTTGATATACATTGATTACAGAGGCTTCGTTTCCTTCAAACCCTCTGTCTAACCTTTCGTTTCCACAATCTCAGTCTGCAGCATCGCTTTGTACTTCTCTCGTTTCTTCTTCAGCACATGCACTTTGAACTTATACACCGCAATGACCACCGTGTCTTTGAGGTCGCGTTTCCAAGGATGCTTTACAATCAGGCATTCCGGAACAGGTACCTCCTTCTTCACCTCGTCCTCCCATCTTAAGGCGGAGCACCGTATTATTTTCATCGTCGAAATGACTATTGTGCTTTTGCCGGCAAAAATTTCTATTATAATTGACGACAAACGCGCACTCGTTTGTCAATTTCAACTCACTTTAGTTCCAACACACCATCCATCATTTTATCGAGAGCTTTCGCGTGGAAATCGTTACTCTTTCCGCTTTCCTCTTCGTCTTCTCGGTCTTCGTTAACGATGTCGACTACAGGCTCCCCTCGTCGAGATCGTTTCTCAAATATTTCGCGATCGTCCACGGTGACTACGTAATCTGGTATCTCCTCGACGCTCCAGGTCGGCGTCTCGATCGGTCCCAGAGGGAAATCTATTCCAAACATCCTCTTCAATTCAGCGACGCAATATCGAAGTCTTTCGATGCGTTTCTTTGCGCGCTTCAGTTCGCGCTCCTTTGAGAGTCTCATTTCCTCGAAGAGATCGTTGAAACGTATCTGTCAAAAGAAAAGGAAGATAGACGATACTACAACGTAAAGCAACTATGCGTTTACAGAGGCTTGTAAAAGTAGACGTCACTTTCAATTTTCGCTCTCGGCTTTCGATGATGACGTTGTATCTCAGGATGGCCTCCAAATCATTGTTACATGGAATTAACAGCTGATGCGTTAAAGCTATGTTTTCATCCTCGATCCACTTATGCGTCGTGACACCCGATATACGCGACTTTTCAGTTTCATCCGCCGACATGTACCATGTCTTGGCCACCTTAGCCATTTCGTGTACTTTGCTCGTTTCGTTGTTAGTCGTTAAAGGTTCATCGTTACTTTCATGACTTGTTAATTTTGACGCTCGTCTTGAGCTGCCTTCATCGTCTACTGATTCGTTACACACCTCGTAACTATAAATAATATATTATATTTGTCTATGCATGAATATAAATCAACTTCAATGTAAAGGTAAAGAGAAAACGAAAGTAATTACCTGTATAGAAATTCGTCGGGATCCGAAGAGAGTCTATCCCATATTTTCAAGTCGTTCATCTTTCGATGAGGCGCGACGAGGGGATAATTATGGATTATCGTATCATCACCGATGGATCTGAGAGCGCACGGCTTCACCTGCAGCGGCTCCCAGAATATTTCACGCAGGTACGACATCATCTGATCTCGTCGAACGCACTCTTCCTCGAGGCTTCGATGCAGCTCGTCCCGTTCGAGCCGCGCCTCTTCTACCCTCCGCTGCCGAAACTGATGATCCAAGTCGAAAGCCGAGACAGGCAGCCGGACGTCTGGCGGCTCGCTCTCGTTTATATCGAGAAGCTCGCGTATCTGCCACAAAACTTACTAATAATTTACATTTAAATTAAAATAATTTTCTAAAAATAAGAGGTGGTACACGGAGAAAAAGGTTTTTTTAAATTTAGTACATGTATTTACTTGACTTGGGTTTGTTTAACATAAGCAGCATAATTTAATGTCGAATATCATTTTGTTTAAATGAAAATGTTGTTGTATCATTAAAATAAATGTTGTTTAATAGAAAAAACAGTATTATTTAGAGGGAATAATATTTCGCTTTCGATAAAAAGATCACTTCATTACATATTAAATATTGTTTCACTGAAATAAAAAATTCTTTAATATTTTTGTGACATAATATTCTTTCAAATAATTTATTGTTTGTAATGTTTGGATGAAGACACGAAATATGTTATTTGATACGTAAAAGATATTTAGAAACCAAACAATCCTGTTTTGGGTCAAACATTCGTTTGTTTGCTCCATTCCAAAGACAAATGTGTTTCAATTAAAGAAATTTTATTAAATCCAAAGAAATCCTTTCTCTGTGCAGTCTTAGAGAAGCATGCCTGATTCTTTATTTTCTCCAAGTCTGCCACGATGGAAGTTCGTACAAGTAGAGCTTCGTCGCGTTCGGCTTTCAGTTTAGCGACGATTACATTGTCTAACCAGGTTGCTTCCTCTGGACCGTGAAATTCACTTGGACCGTAAGAGAAATCTTCAATCGACATACGTGTATTCGCAGCCTCAGTTTCCACCAAGTTCGCTCTTGCTTCCGGTAAGCTGCTCGAATCATCGAATTGACTTAGAAACAATTCCAATTTTCGATTGTCAATAACGCAAGGTGCAAGCGGAAGCAAAATACCGGACTCGACTGGCAACGAGATCGCCGTTTCTACCGAGGGAAACGATCGTTTCGCCTAAACGCGAGCAAATCGCCGACTTTATTCCGCCTTTGGTCCGATGCTGCGGCATAAAAATCGAGAACACTCTCCCAAGTTCCGTGCCGTCTCTGACCACGACTAAGCCATCGTATCCGTACGTTATGACGCGAGAATCCGTCACGTGTATCCCGATGTTTCTCATTTGATGTACCGAGAAGAGCGTTTTCGTAAAAGCGACGTCTTGAAAGTCATTCTGCGAAAGAAAAGCAACGAATCTCACCCTATGCGGAAAAAATTATAAGAATAAAAAAGTAACTGGCGCATCACTGAAGAACTATTGTTTTTCAATGGTGTACCGGTAATTTTTTCGTCTTCTTATAGTTACTTTCCGTACGGGTCGTTGGAACTTATCGCACTCGACTCACCTGTATTTCCATTTGATACAACTGTTTAGACAGAGACGGCACGCCCAGTATGCTCAGAGGCTTATTTGATCCATGATATAGCATTGTGAAAGGTCTCGACAGATCTATCACATATGTGGCACGTGCGCAGAAATTGCCGGAGATTACCTCGCAGGTATATACGATCAATCTGTCGCCGCCGACCGAAGCTACTGAGGGGTTTGCCGTTGCGAGGATCAAGATGTCGAAGCGATCGTTATTCCTCTCGTACGTCAGGAAGTCGGCCACCTACAAGGAGAACGGGTGAGTTCGTTTCACTTGGATATCTTGACATGATTCGTACAATAAACAACTGTCTTACGTGTCCGCTAATTTCTAAGTGTCCGACAACATCGGCACGCTGCTGCTTGACCGGTTTGGCAATGATAAAAATATTGCCGGTGTGAGAATTGCCGAGTACCAAAAGCTGGCCGCAGCGCGAGAATTTGATTTTGTCCAAAAGACTCTCGTGAAGATGAAAGCAGTTGAAAATCTTGGGCGATGAGACGCTTGTGACGTCGATGAAGATGCAACTGCCAGCGAAGTTGCACGATGCCAGCATCGGTAGGGTGGGATGGGAGTCTATGCGAAGAACTGGAGAAAATTTCGTTAAATTAATGATACGCGTAGCGCGTATCATATGAGAAATTAATGAAAGAATTTTGTTTTTTTTTTAGCTTTCTTCGTACGAAATTTGAATTGAATTTTACCTTCACCGTGATGCTTCAGAGATAATCTCGCTACTAGTTTGCCGCTCGATAGCTCGAAAATGCAAAGACGATCCAACCGGTCTACCGCCGCGACGTGATCCGCGCGTTGAGGGATAGAAAGCAGTGCTTTGTATTCTATATCGTCTGTATAAATAACTTCCACGCGAGGGACGTTGTCGTGCTGTATGCTGATCTCAAAAATTTCTCCGCTTTTCGAGTGGAGCAGAAGCCCATCTTTGCAGCTGTGTCGTTTCGCCACTCGAATGGAATGGTAAGCCGTCGAAATCGACCAGGCGAATTGCCACGATACGTTCCAGTTGATTGACAACTTCTTGTAAAACTTTGACAATTACGCAATAGTTACATCAATAGTCAACAATTAGAGATACGTATTCGAGTTATCATCTGTGCACCGAGAGTTTTTCTTTCAAAATCTCCCTCTCAATCTCAATTATTTCTCTTTCAAAATCTATCGAATCCCTTTTTGGTTCTAATAGATTAATTAAATTTAATTAAAGATTTTTTAAATTGATTAATTTAATTAAAATTTAACACATTTTTTCCTCTAAATCGGTATTTTTCCACATTACATATATATGAAATATATTTTAACATATAACGCAGAATTAAAGATTAACAATCGAAGTTAATCACAAATGAATATAATACGTACTGTAATTTCACTATCAGCATTCACAACTATCACGCCGCCTTTATAAGCAACGACGATCGGTTTGTTCTCCGGTGGTACGCGTGTTTCCAATTTTACCACCGAATACAATTTGTTAGCATCTATCGCCAAGAGCCACACGTTGCCGAACTCATCACAGATGAACAAGTTTCCTTCCGGAGTCCAAGACGAAGACACAATTCTGTGTTCCGGATGTAGGACGTCTACGTGATGTATACTTATTATTTTCGAGCACGTGCGCACCTGATAGATCGAAAGTGAGCCATCGACTGCTTCAAGCTGCGATATCAAGTGCGGTGGATTCGGCGAACAACTAACGCGAATGAAAATCACTCATTTCAAACACACTTTGAATTTTCCTCGATGAGAAATTAAAAAGATAAATCGGCAAAAAAACATTGAATTTATATCGCATATAAGAATAAACGTATAAAATTAAAATACCGTATAAATTCGTCGAAATACGGTAGTGAAAAAAAAAAAAAAAAACGAGAGGAACATTCATTACTCACGATATTTCTTGATTGAGGCTGTCTACCTTTGTATCAAGCGCCGCGACGGGTTTGCCCGTTTTCCAGAGCCACACGATCACTCGGAAATCGGGGAAACTGGTTAGACTCACGAGATATTCCGTACCGGCGAAGGAACAAGATAAGTAACCATTTATCTTGTCAGGCAGCACGCATCTGGAAATCCTTTGTAGCGTCGGGTATATGAATATCGAAATCTTGGGATTGGGTTTCCTCTCGACTACGGAAAACATTGAAACTACCTGTAACGTTGAAAATAGCGATGCTGTTAAACGATACTCGTCAGATACAGTCAGTGATACTCGTTGCTTTTTGGATATTCGATAGTATAAATTGAATGTAAATTTCTTGTTAATTCATCAGTAAATAAATTATACACCACGCATATACCGGATGCCCAGCCAAACACGATGCACCATCGCCCCTTTCCTCGCAATCGAAACGCTCGACCCGTTTTTCTCTCGTGTTCAAATCCAAAAAGCTCACGTAAATACCGGAGGCTGTTGCGACCGTCTCTTTTCCAACGAAGACGAAGTCGTGAGATTTCCCGAACTTCACCCACCTGCGATACCAATTACGAACGATAACGGACCGCGTTTTATTCGCCAAACTCTTAGGAAGGAAACGTACTTAGTCTCGCTGATTGAAAAATTCATTTCGTTACGTTCTTCGATTTGCAAATGTATTTTCAACGGGAAGCCCTCGTCTACCGTCTGCGCTATCGTGACTTTACTTCCGTCGACTAAGCAAATTTTACCCGGATAACCGCCGTGTTTGGTTGCTCAGATACCCAGTTAGGTTGGTTTATCGATCGCAGTGACCGTCTGCAATTCCCGACTCTGTTTGATTGCAAGCCTTCCGAATGTAATTGTAATGCGCCATTAGTTGTTTGTCGCACGATCATGATATAATGTTACTATTTATATTAATGTTCACTATATATCTCACATTTACTAAAACCATTTTTACCATATATCTTTCATATTTGTTAAAACAGAATTTCTCAATACAAATATTGGTGTATAAATTTTATCTTTTTTTATCATCTATCTTCAGGAAAATTTATCGGATCTTTGGAAATAGATTGAGGAGAATTCATTGCGCGCGTGTAGTGTTCTTGTTTCGTGTTTTAAGTAGCGAACAAATGGACGGATGGACATTCATCGGGCAAGACATTTGCATACTTCTCCGGGAGATAATAGAATCGCCGAAAGAATGTCGCTAATGCAGTTAAAAGTGTGCCACTGGATCAAAGAATTGTAGGAGGCTCGAAGGATAGTGACACCGTTATCGGATGCATCGTTCGGCACATAATAATAGGCCCCACGCCTTTGAGTCTTTGCAGTAATTAACATCTCGGCGTTTTTAACAATTTTATGGAATGAATGCTGAAAATGCTGGAAAAAGAAATGCGACATTTTCCCACTGAACGTGAGAGACAAACGCTTTTAATGAACGCTTTTAACGAATGTACTCGTTAAAAGTGATTTCACCGATTTATAACGATTGAAACTTGATTAAAGCTTTAATAATGGAGTTTGCGATAAATATATAGCGTCAAATCAACAGATAAATAAAATTGGATTATAGATATCAATATTGAAATTTGATTACCGTATTACGAAAATAAAAGAAAAATTACAAGTAATAATAATTATATTTAATAATCTATTATATTATTTATATGTATAGTACTGCGTTTTTATCTTTATCCTTTCTTGCAACTCATATATGAATAATGTATTGAACCATAAAAGGATTTCTTGTTAATAAATGGACAATTATATAGTCGTTCAATTATTTCTACATTGTAACGTAGCATTTTGCAAATTTAGACGGATTTTTGAAAGAAAAAGTAGCAAAAAATGTGTCGGCACATGCTTGATGGCGGAACGGTTGCTTGACAATTGGGATGGCGATGTCGAAGAGGCACGGCGTAATGGTAACCCAATAACGCGATTCTTGTACCCCTTCCGAATGCGTGCGGCATATATAGACGAAGCGTAGGCGACGATTTTTTATTCACGAGCGTTGATCGAGGTGAACGTCTGCCAAAAGGATGAAGAACGTTTCGTGAGTTCGTCACTCGCTAGACCGATCTTGTGACGAGCGGATTTTGGTGCCGTAGCTGATCAGTGCGAGAGTGGACGGTTCGCGAGTGAACGTATTTGCGTAAAAGAGAGATCTTCGAGGGCGAATTCTTGGATGATAAACGGGAGCTTCCCGATCTGGAAGCTAGAAATCAACAATTACTCGAAACTTTACACCTGTGTTATCATCCGTCGAGAGTGGAAACTCATTATCTTGAGAAGAATCTATCGAGGTATGGATGTCTATCGGAAAGGGTTGCATTATTTATAATTTCTTTATCTGAAAAGCCGGAAGCTTAAAGCAAATTAAAGAACACTGTTGTTAGCTTTCAACTTAGTTTAGTACTGTTATCTTGCGGACAGCGATACCAATGATTGCCCTAATAATACAGAGACAGCAATAAATAATTCCACGTGGTATTATTTAGCCGCAAGAACTCGTTGGAAAACGGCAAATCACTGCAAGCTGCTTCACACCCGCGAATTAGGGTCGCAGTCGAGATGACCGATAAACCGCTAAAAGGGAGCGATGCCCGCTACTCGCTTAGTATGCGCGGGCGGTTGCTCGCATTTCGTATTCAAGAGGAACCTTCCGCACTCATCTAGAAGGCGCCTCGCATCGCGCTACTCGAGCGTGCTACTCGTCCGTCTCTTATTGCTCCTCCTTTTTCAATTAAAATAATATCGCTTCGTCAATATCCCATTCATGTATTCCCCGGGAATTCCGCGAGAAGCTCGGTAACGCCTGCGGCACGTCCCGCGACACTTCGCGAGACCTTTGCTCGAGCACGCGCGCGCTTCGTGAAATCCGACGGAGCTGTTTGCAAACGCATCTTCTTACCTCGCAGATCACAGCGCACTCCTCCGACGGCAAACCACCGGCAAAATGTCTCCTTACCAAGCGCGAGAACATCGGCTCGGGGTCTCAGAAATCCTCTTGCTCTGCTTCGCTCTGGTCTCCAGCCACGAAGTAGTGTCCTCCAATCATCAAAGCACACCGGATGCGTCCACCCTGAGAGTGGAGGCTCGAGAATCCGAGGCATCGATCACCCTGGGGAAGGATCTTATGCTCGGGCCACCGTTGCCGACCAATTCTGCGCTCCTAGCTAACACCAGCAACTCCAACGACGTCGCGACGACGAGGATCGAGTCAGCAGGCCAGGTGTATGCCGACGAAATCAGTGGGAGCATCGTCCATGGGCCGGTCCCGAATAGTCCTCGATGGTCTTCGCAGGTCTCCGACAATCGTCATTGGACGAGCAAAGGCTCGAAGAGCGTCTGGAAGAAAGACAGCTATCTCGAGGCACTGAGACACTCTCGCAACAGCGACGATCCGCGAGAAGGTGTCGTGCGGACGGACTCGAAGACGAAGGCGAATAGGAGGGAGTACACGCCGGGTCCCGTTTACAGGGCAGACTCGGGCTACGGCCCGCCCGATTCGACGTATCCGTCGAAGGAGCCGCAGATCGCCTACGGCACCTCGAGCGCCTTCTCGTCCCCCGGCGATTCCTACGCGCAACCCTTCAAGTCGTCGATGAACCCGAACGATCACTACGGCGCACCGCAGAACTCGTACGGTCCGCCGAGCTCCTCGTCCTACCCTCAGACCTCGTACGGGCCACCCGCGAACTCGTACCAGCCGCCCCAACAAGGTGAGGCCGAAGGTTCCTCGTGGGACCGCGAATATTGAGGTTCCCTCAGCGGGAATTTCCTCTTGGTTCGAGTTTCACGTGTCGAATCCTTTCGTTGCTCGTTCGATTTAATCACGTCCCGTTTTGCGTTGCAGCATACGGCCCTTCCATACACGTTTCTCCAGCATCTCCTGTCTACGGAGCACCTTACGCACTCCCCGATATGTCTCACATCTCTGTTTTGCCGACCTTCGACCTTGGCTGGCCGATCGCCCTCAAACTGAACGCCTTCACCATCGCGAAGATCATACTGAAGTTGATCATCTTCAAGATGATTGTTAAATTCATAGCGGCAATTTGCTTGCTGCTCTTCATACCCAAGCTGGAGATCATCAAGAAGAAGGGTAACAAAGACGAGGAGGACGAAGAACGGGGCTTGTCGTCGCGTGAGTTCTCAATGAGATCCAACTCAGGGCTATTGTCACCTCGTGACTTCGATTCGTCCGCTTCTCACGACTAACGAGGACCTGCGCGTTTTTCAGCTTACGCCAGTTCGGAGACGCTGAACGATCTCGAGTCCATGGTGCGAAGCTCCGTCGAGAAGTACGAGGCGCAAAACGACGCTGGTTCCAGTTCGACGAAGAAATGCACGACACCCGGATGCCGTGTCGCTGAAGCTCTCACGTTCCGCGAATCTCGGGACGACTATTTGAATTTATTCAAGAGCTACGTGGAAGAAGAGAGGCGGGTCACGAAGCGGGAAGAGCAGTGAGAAGCTCGCCACCTTCGTTGTCACCGAGTTCCATTCTCGTCTCTCCGTCGTCTCTTTTTCACTCTACCTGTAATTATTTATTTATTAAATTTCACGCAAATTAATCCCATCGATGCGGAATGTTTCCCTCTCATCCGTTTGACTCATCCGTTGAATATCGAGAAGCGATTTGATATTCGAGAAGCGGTCGAATAGAGACACCGTTTCTCTCGGGCGTGAAGGTACTTTGGGAAAAGCTGCGATCTCAGAGCTGCGCCGGATGTACCTCGCGACGTCACTCGAGACGTCGCGATTAGAGCAGATTACAACGATGATCTCTTCTCGCGGACACGGCAGCCTGATTATTCGGTTGCTATCACGTGCCAGTGAAGTACGCGAGCGGCGCACTGGAAAATAAATTAATTTTTAGTCATATCCTCTCTGCGATGGAATGTCAGGCACGCGATGTTTTACGCGTCTCTCAGTTATTAACGTCGAAAAGCAAATTAGTTTCATAAATGGAAAATAACGAGCACGAGATCTAGGACGTGCTATATTCTAATTGGTAGTAAAGTGGCGTCAAAGAGTCTGCATTGACTTTATGGTTGTAGTTTAAACAAACCGTAATTTATCTACACTTTTCTAAACACGTATTACGAAAGTTTTTCAAGTATACACCAAGAGAAAATTATTTGATATTTGTAACTATATATAATACCGTAACTATACACTATAGTAAAAGGATTACAATCAAGAGAACCATTTTTCCGATAAACGTTACTATATTACCAGCGATGATAAGCTTACGTATATATTTTTATTTATACTTTTATGATTTAAAAAAAAGATGTAGCTAAAGCCGAAAATAATTTCTATCAATATACGTGTTACTTGAATTTATGCAGAACATGAGTACTTGCAACATCGTTCTGCTCAAATGATCGTTATTATTGGTAACAATTAAAAGTCATTTGACCAATGCTGGCGATTGCCTGTTAGCGATTAATTAATTAATTACGAACCGCGTCCTCTTGAACGAGCTGTACGATCCGGAGAAAAATCGCGTGCTCTATAAAGTATAATTAATCCGACGCACACGATCCGGACTTAATGCGTTCTACAAGTTCCCCCGCAGGTGGGGATGAATTTCATCGTTACGCTCGTTTATAAACGTGGCATGATGACACGATATGTCAGTCCTCTCTTGACAGCCATTCACCGTGCCTGGAAATTGAAGCTGACTTTCATACCCGCCAACGATCGGTCGGAACAATGGAGGTAGCAATTATAGTTGGTACGAAATTTGCACCGACTTTTTTTAAGGCTTAACAACGCGAGAATCGATCATTTCCGCAATCAGCTAAATGCGCCGTGATTTTATACCAACCGGTTTTATGTGTTCTACAGAGTGATTATAGATATGTTCTACAGAATTATATCTTTTTTTCTGCCAACTATTGAATACGTTCGAATAAGCAACTAACAGTCTGATGAAACCGACGGTTTAAAGTTTTTTTTTCGTTGTTTGATTGTTTGATTCACACACAGTCGTCTTTATTTGTGCGTATGTAACATTATTAGAACGGTACTAATTTTGTAAAAAGAGTTTTTGATTGGAATTATAAGTTTTGATATCGATGAAACATAAGAAAGAAATTGTACAAACACTTCGCGCACGTAATAATATATTATTTAATATCTACGGCTTATTAGCTGATTGCACCTCTTTTTAACCACCTCGTTTATGCATGATTCTCTCTTTAAAGTTTGCGTGAGGAAAGAATTATTAACCATTAATCAAGTATATACTATTCATAAAATAAGTGATCGTAAAATAACCGGTACTAACTCGGAAGTCAGCAAGCAATCATAAAGTATATTAAAAAAAACTATAAAGTCCTGGAATTATTATGGTAATTCGTGCAAGCAATCATAAAGTATATTAAAAAAAACTATAAAGTCCTGGAATTATTATGGTAATTCGTGCGATAAAACAAGTTGCATTCACTGATCGATTACATAGATTTAGAGTCCATTCAAGATCAATCTCGGCTGAAATGATTTCACGGAATCGCGCGAGCGTCTTTTTCCAGAATTTACTTACGAAGAACTAAGTAGAAATCGCGACTATCGTTATTTACCTCTGAAATAGCGAGAGAAAAATTAGACCGACTAAGGATCGAAGGAAGTATCTTTAAATGGACGTGGGCCTAAGTGGCCTTGAGTGAAGAAACGTCGCAATCGCCAGGAGCGTGTCGATCTCGATTCGAAATAAACCTTGATTTCAATAAAGCTGCAATCATCCAATAGAGACGCGTATTAAGGCCGCGTAGAGTCCCAACGAGGTACTAAGCTACCTTCAATGGATTTACGTAATACCGTTCTCTAGAACGCACCGACACGAAAGCTTCCGAAAATTATGTCGGCCATTTACTTGCTCGGTACTAATCTATGGTCGTGATAGAATGATTGTGATGTTACAGTCGATCAAGAGTTATCAGTTTCTTTGTTTCGCAGAACGTTGCCGCTGCAATTCAAACGCAATTCTTCTCCCTCGCCTGTCATATATAAGAAAATGAATTGCACCGGAGATCACTCGGCGTATTTTGAACAGTCGACATCGAGATTGAATTATCTCCAATTTTCTATTCTCTTCTGTGAACCTTCTTTAGCGATGGCGTTTCTCAGCATGTTTACGTTCTGCGAGGAGGGATACGCTCTTCCCGACGATTCAAAGGTGACCCCTATGAAGGAAATAAAAGAGCCCAAAGAGATTAAAGAAGCGGCGACTGCTTCGAAGGACGTAAAGGATGCCATCAAGGCTGCCAAGGAGGCGAAGAAAAACAAGAAGGATTGCGCTAGGGAATGCGGGGACGAGTACGATCCTGTTTGCGTTCACGATCCCATGAACCCCAGTTTCAAGCCGAGGACCTTCGGCACGCAGTGCGCTTTGGACGTTCACAATTGCGAAATGGGGACAAGTAAGTGAATGAGAAAAAGAAGAAAAAAAAGGGAGAGAAATACAAATATATCGAGGGGGAGTTGTACACATGTTAAAGTTATCGATCGGAGCGATAAAGAATTAATTCATCTTAAATATTTAAAGGACATAACTGCTTATAATAATTTTGTTTAATGTCGTTACGCAATTAAATTGGACATCCGAAATATTATCTTAAATCGATATCATCAATCACGTTAATTACTTTCGCATCGTAGAACTGGCCGTGAAGAACAAAGGGGAGTGTCCTGGATCCAGCGGAACAAGATTGTCCTGAACGTCGTCGATTTCAAAAGACCCATTGAGAAACGCAACGTAGAATAGGAAACATCGAGTCAACTGTGTTAGGTCATTTAATCGCGAATTTCTGTTTAGTTTGCAACAAATGTAAATCTTAACGCATTATAACGCGATGCGGCTCTTCCTCTTCCTCTGCATACACTTATATAGATAGTGATATATACGAGAACACTAAATAATACAAACTGCGCGACGAAAGGTCTGACGATGATCGATTGCACGCCAAACTATACGCTGTGTACTATACTCAATGTAAGAGGAGACAAGAATGCATCTGTCTAATAAATATTAACGATGAGCAACCATTGATCTCATTTCCTTATCATCACTGCCTATCTCCGTCGCAACACATTGGTGTTCGGGTAGTTTCTAATTCATGCACGTTTCGGTGCTCTGAATATGTATCCTCGACGCGCAAATTTGAATTGGTTCTCCAATCGTGTATGCGATCTCTCCTGATGGGAACCGAAAGGATATTGGAATGCATTTGCAAGGAACAATTGATGTAACTTTTAAAGCCCGTCAGCCGGTCTGATATTTTGGATTTCGAAACAATCTCGTCTACCTACTGCTCCCGCGTTCTTCCTCATAATTTTATCTTCATATTTTATCTCTCGTTGGGAAGATATTGGTTCAAGTTATTCAAGTCACAAGTTATTTTAAGTCACAAATAATAATGCAAATGTTTGGTTCAGCTTTGCCTGTAGAGGAACGAAATGTTCACTTATCGCCCGTTATCAGTTACACCGATAAAGAAACAAAATCACAATTGTATCTTTTGAGGTGCAGTATACCCGCTTATCGATGATCGTTCTGTTTCACGTAATTCAATCATATCGCAAGCTGCGATATCACAGTCAACCGAGCGATGTCGACACGTTCCGGCAGAGTAATCCTTACCGATTGATAAATAAATGTAACAGTTTTGCAACTCGCCTCCTAGATGGGCTAAACTTCGAGAGAGGGTTGCAAAATTCCAATATAAATTCCACGTGTGTTCTACGCATGTGTTCTGCGCAGGTGTTCTGCGCATGTGTTCTGCGCAGGTGTTCTGTGCAGAATATATACGCAGAATCCATGCCCGACGATTAAAATGAACGATCTTCGTGCGCCACGTTGCTCGACGAGCTGCTTCATCGAGCAATATGTACGCACGTCGACTACATGCATTAAAGGCAACAACGCGTATTCGTAAATTACGAACTAGGGGCCATTGTCCGTCAATCTTGGTTGTGTAACGAGTTTACCTTTGAAATTAATGTCCACGATAATGAGGATGCGAGCGAGAGAGCGCGATGAAGGACGGCGGCCGGCCGGCTGGCCGGTCGCGATTCGCATTCTCAGTCTGGCGCACTTTGCCCTGCCTGCGAGATGTACCATTTGATTCGACTCGTCCGTGACATGATCAACTTGCTGTCTCCCTCGACGATTTGCTGTCTTATCGTCCTTGTCTCGTTATGCGAGACGAAAATGTGTTCTCTGATCCCATACGCCTGCACGACCGCGAGCACGGCTGCTACTTCCGCAGGTAATCGATTGCGATATAGTTAACCCTTTAATCCTGTCTTTTCTCTGAACAATTTCAAATTTGCATATGTTGTTAAGATAATTATCATTTAATCGTTGTATCAACTGTTGTAGAAAACTGAGTTAGTTAAATTAAAAATTAATTAAACAGTACTAAGACAAAATAAAATTTGGATCTCCCTCTGCTCTCGAAATTTGTTGGGATGAAATTTTAGTAGAGAAATAGAGAGACTACTTAAATACGAGTCACTCAAGTTTTAGTGAATTTTCACTTATAGAGTGAATTCTCTAATCTGACTCGTCGAGTAAATATTTTCGCTCGAAATTGAAGAGTAAATCTAATATATTCCACTGTTACAGGAACATATTCACTCCGCTCGATTAAAATATTCGCTTGTATGTAGTGAGAATCCATTCTAAGCTCGAATGAAACATTCACTTTTATGGTTTCGAGTGGCAGTATTTTCACTATCGCTTCGAGTGAAAATACTGCGCCACTCTTTTGTTTTCAGTGAGATTTCACTCCAAGAAATTTAGAAAGTGCGGGACACGTGTAGCCCAACGGGATCAAAAGGGGTTGAGTTTCACAATCCCCGCTGTGCGGCGACCTCTTCTCGGTCCCCGACACGCTTAAAACTCCTAATACCCGAGGTGATTTCTCGTACGAGCGCAGATGCTGACGCGGAACGTTCACATCCGACGCCGGCGTCGATGTCCGTGTTCGAGGAGATGGAGAACCGACTGTCGAGCCTCGAGCGGAGGCTGCGAGCGGTCGAGCAACCGGGTAAGAATAACATCTCACGATCGTCATTACCAAAGCACGGGATGAAAGCACAGCCATGCTCTGGCAGTTTGGCAGATCGGTTCGAGGGAGGACGATTGGGAGGTCTGCGCCGAAGGCCCGTGCAAGTGCGTGCCGGAGATGAAGTCGGTGTCCTGCTGGAGGCGCGGCCTGCTGGATCTCCCGCCGGCGCAACTGGTGCCCGCCGACGTGCTGAGATTGTAAGCGATTCGAGGGAGAAATCTCCGCAAAATCAGCCGAGCCGTACTCGCACGTGTCGTTGAGCTCTAAAGTGCGCGTCGAGTTTAGCCGAGCTTGCGCGCGATTTGGACAATTTCTCTCTCGAAATTGCACGCACTCGAGAACGCGCGCGGAACAAGTCGCGCAGAATAAAAGTCACTCGCTCGACGTGCCGTTTCAGGGATCTCGGGGGTAATCGGCTCAGCGCTCTGCACAGGGACACATTCAGGAACATGACGCGGTTGCACCACCTGTAAGTTGCTATTCGCATGGCGATTGTATGAGCGAAAGATGCGTAGACTCTAATGAGGTTACAAATCGCAGAGATCTGAACGGCAACCTGGTCGAGCACCTATCGTTGAATCTGTTATTGCCGTTGCGAGGTGTCGCGAATGTCCGGCTGAGCGATAACCTCCTGAAAGAAGTCCAGCGGAATCAGTTTCTCGGCCTGAGAAACCTTCGAATACTGTACGCGAGAATTAATCTAGATAAATGAAGAGTCATCGTAGAAAATAAAATACGAAAACAGATATTAGAAGAACATATTTCTGCAGATGTCTCTATTGGAAGAGAGCACATTTGCTGAGTCAGTCGAAACGTTTGATTTGACTTTGGAATTAAATCTAATATTATTGCATTAGATCCAAAATTACTCATCAACCGCATCAAAATTTCGACTCGGATTACCTATGGTCTTTCGGCAGTATTCTGACAACGCTTGTACGCCTCCATCATAAAAGGCGTCATTGTATTTTTTGATTAGCCCAGCAGTACTTATATTTTCAATGTACAGTGTGAATCCATTAAGATTTAGTACGTCGGTATTTACTATTTCGATAATCGTTTCGTGAAATGCGCACCGAACATTTAGCACTCGATCGACCGAAGTAATCTCATTCGATTTCCCCCTATTCAGCGATCTATCGTCGAACAGACTTCGGACTCTGCCGGAAGGTCTGTTTCTGAGCAATAGCCTCTTGGCTTTATTGGATCTCTCCTCCAATCGCATCTCCTCCTTATCTCTCGACGCATTTCGCGGTCTCGGTAACCTCGAGGAACTGCTGTTGGCTAAAAACCGATTGTCCAGATTACCTGTCCCGATTTTCAAAGGCACAATCAACCTCAGGCGTCTCGCGCTCGAGGAAAATCGCCTGAGGGAGCTACCGAATAATTTATTCCGCCATTTGACGTCGCTCAGAGAGCTGGACATGAGGGGCAACCAGTTGATGGAAATACCCAGGGGAACGCTGTCGCATCTCGTCAAGCTGGAGATACTGGAAATGTCAAGCAACAGAATATCCCGCGTAAATGTCGTAAATCTGTCTGCACAAATTAAATTAATCTTAATAATCGTGCGGTTCTTCTGAGTAAAAGTCAACAAAGATAGGAAAATGGCTAATTAAAGCCTTACGAAATCACGCTTATCCTTGTTAAATTGCCCGAGTAGAAAGATTATTATGTCAAATAACGTCTTAATAACATCTCTAACGTCAAGAGAGATAAGACTTTATTAAAATGTCATTTGACGTCACCTCGTTACTCGGCTAATCTCTAACCTATACGATGATAATATTAATTAATTGCTAAGAAAACTTATGTTTGAAATACGTATGATTTTATAAACGATCGCGTCGAATAAACGCGAATACTCAGAAGAAACTTCGTATATATTATAAGTATTAATAAACATATATTAATAAAGATCGCATCTCGATGGCAGATCGACGCAAGAGCCTTTCGCGACATGGTAGCGCTTCGAGAACTACGACTAGGACACAACCACATCAAGTACTTGCCGCACGGATTATTCGGCAACTCCACATCCCTGGAACGTCTTATTCTCTATGGAAATCATATAGAGATCTTGACGAGAGGCGTACTTCACGGTCTATCCAATCTCACTTCTCTCTTCTTGCAATCCAATCGACTGAGGTTGCTGCAATCTGGGGTTTTTAACGATACGCCGAATTTGCGTAAGCTGTAAGTCGATTTCCAGATTTTAATAATAAGGTTTTTAAGGTCCTTATTAATTAGACTTTAATAATTGCTCGGAATCGGACATTCCCGCAATGTTAGGTTGATTTAATCGCGATTAGCATGACGATTTTATTTATACAAATCTTTTTATTCGTCTCTACAACGACAAACTTCTTTGACCTGGAACTGAGAGAGAGAGAGAGAGAGAGAGAGAGAGAGAAAGAGAGAGAGAGAAAATAATAAATCAAATCTCAAACATATAATCTATGATATTCAATCTAATAAATATACGTTCTTTGTGATATAATTTTTAAAAAGCCGCTTTCTTAATTTTTCCTCGGGAAGAAATCGAAAAACATCGAAGAAATGGAAAAGACGGTTTTCCCCAAATTTTTTCATTTATCCGCGAAAGGAAACGAAAAGAAGCCATGGAAAATTAAAAAAAAAAAATCCGGCTTTCCTCCGAGCCTTTAAAACTATACTTTGTAAGTACAAACGTTTCCACTACGATTTGGTTCTCGGTAAACATTTATTTCCCGAAAGTTACGCAGCAGCAAGAAAAGGGCGGACCTTCAGGGTAAAATCAATAGATCGTCGCGCCGTGATCGCGTCACCGGATCGAAATAGTAGTATCAACGATCAAAGACGTTGGAATGATTTTGGTGGGAGATTTCACAAGATAAGAAAACAATCTCGCAATGCCGAGTAATTCGCAGCCACTCAGCGGTATCTTAATCCTCAGGCAACTGGAGTCGAATGAGCTCTCTTTCCTGCCGGCCGGCAGCATGGACGCTGTGTCCGCGATTCCGCAAGTGCATCTGAATCGGAACCCCTGGCACTGCGACTGCCGTGCCTTGTACGTCGCGTCCTGGCTACGCCGTAGATTCGCCGGCTTCGCGAACCTGACGAATCCGTTGCAGATACAGCGGGCGTTGATCGTGACGGGCAACTGGAGCATCTGGGAGTACGGAGCCGGGGCGATTTGCAGAGGCCCGGGTGTGCTGGGTGGTCAGCCTCTGCTGCGGCTGACCTTTCACGAGCTCTGCGAGGGCCAGTGGGCCTCCATGAAGGGCATCGTGCCTCGGCTACCTCTCGACGCTATATCGCCGTCTCTCAAGTCGCACGTGGCCAGGAAGGACACGGTTCTGATCTAAGTACGGATTCCGCGTTTAATCGAACGCGATATATCGGGATCTCGGATTTTTCCGCCGATAGCAAAAATGACCCGCCGCGATATGATACGAGGAAGGCCGGCGCGATTCTTCCGCTCATTTTGATCTCGATTCTCTTTCTCGCTGCAAGAAGAACAGGCATCATTATCGTTTCTTCTCTGATCACCTTGTTTCTCACTTGCCTCGTTCGTCCGCTGTTGCAGATACGGGAAAGATGAAGTCTCCCACGTGACGTGCGTCCTTTCTCCACCTGGACGTCGAATAATAGCTGGATGCCTATGGATCAACGTCCAGAGTTATCACCTTTTTTTCTGACGCTAATCATAATAATTAGCGTGTCGCTCAAACGCGCGATTACGAGTTTTTCTTTCCGCTGTCGCGAAGAATACAACGAGATACGCGTGTATGGCGCGTGTGATAACAGGACTTGCGTAACCCTCGCGATTACAACGCGGTGGGAAATAATCGAAAGATGTGTCGTTAATTCGCCAAATTAAAGTGCCAAATAAAAGTTGCAACTTTCGACAAAAACAAAACACTCGAAGCGCCAGTCTTTGCAGTCCTTCCGCTTTCCAAGCGTGCTCCGCTCGCCGTTTCCAAGCGTTTCGTGCCCGTCATTTGTTAATTACAATTACAATTCCAAGATCGTTAGACAGGATAGATATCGTTGGATAGTCAGATGGTTGTTAGGCGGAATCAAGTGTCGCGAGTGTAATCAACGTCGGCGCGTTTGTCGGCGCAAGTCGCGATATGTTATCGCGAACGGGACCGGAGGCAATGCCCGACTCGCGTAATTTCGTGTGTGAAAACGGTAAATGTGCCATTTGAAAATCGCAAGTTCCAATTACAGGTGTGTGCTTCCGGCTGACTCACACACACACACACACACACACACGCGCGCGACTCGCGCGTAATGCCATCGGACGGACACGACGTCTACGTAAACGGCGCGTGTCGACTGCGCACTGAATCGCCGAAATTCTCGTCGCAGTTCACGAGGGTTCGTATCTACGAGCTTTTCGAGCGCGGGAAAAGAGCGATATGCACTCGTGGCAGGTCGAAATGGAAGGGGTTCGACGGATTCGAAGACGACTGGCCGGTCATTCGGACTCCGCAAGTCCGCCGCGCTTCGGTTCAGTATAGTTTTCGCGATGGCTGCGTCGAGTGCTGACAGCGTCACCGAGCTGTTGGAGAAGATCCTCAAGATCCTGAGGGAGGAGCACGCGTTCGATCGGTCCGGCGATCAGCCCGTCGTGCAATTCGTCCATCCCAATGATTTGCAAGTGAGTATCACCGAACATTGCGGCGCGACTCCTCGCGCCAGAATAATCCGCCCTGTGGCGAAAACCAACGGGATAAGTGGGTAAGGATGTATCGGGCTGTTCGACAGGTTCGTAAGGACTCTCGCGAAAGATTCCAAGACGGCTTTTACACAGTTGAGCACAATTTTGTCCGTTTCTTTCGTTAACCCATGAGGAAAAGAGCCAAGATCGAGCGGCCGTTATTGAATAGAGCAATACTGACTGACAAACTGGACGAAATATTGCGAGTGAATAAAGTTATTTTCACTACGGGGAAGTACCTTATAAGGACATTCGTGGAGTCGACGTAGATACATTTGTGGGCTACCGGACTGGAATATTTTGTAAAAAGCCCTATGAGCTTGTCGAGAACAATTGAACGCAATCGGAAAGTAAGAGTGAGCCGGTAAAAGCCTGAAACGCCGTTCTGTCTATGCTAAATTTCGCGTCGTACACGTAAAAAAGTGCAGGTACTAAAGATGTCGAATACAGAAATTACGATAACGGGCGTTTCGATCTCGCTTGGATCACCCTCAGTGTTTATATACGAGCAATATTAGTGTTTATGTGAGAATGTAAGATGTCTCGGGTTGTGCAAGCACGAATATTCGTCTTTGCAGAAGACGGAAAAAACAATGTGTTATGTCCACGATACCGGAGATAGGAAGTAATAATATGCATGTTCTCACGGTGAACCGTCGTCGAAATGCCGGGGTCAATGATACTGCGTATCTTCTCAGTATCTCATAATGCTTGACTAATCTTTCTACCGACGACGACTTACCGACGACGCCTGCAGAAATATGCAGGCATTCAGTGACGAAGGTCTTCATTCGGAGAGCGACACGAAATTATTAAGCGATGCTTACATTCTCCTTATAAGGGTATTATCTCCTTTTAAATTTTCCACAGAGTATATTTGCTTCGATATTAAAATCATTCAGTTAGTTATCCGCGGGTAACGATAAACTTTTTCACTGATAATTCATCAGCCCTCTACTCCCCTACACAAACTAGCCACCCCAACCCGACCTAGATGTGTTATCAGCGTCTTCAATATTGCCACTAATTTCATGCAAATACATCAACGTTTCGAGACTTTATTATCATTACAGTTCTACTTTTTTTTTTTCCATCCCCCTCCCTTTCCCCGTAAATGCGTGAAGAAAGTACTCAGCTGAACTCTCACGCGTCTATCCGCCGTCCGGCCGAGGAATCGTTGATTTCTATGAGGGACTTTGACACGTACGCGATAACGCTCGTCGTTCTCTCGACAAATTTTCCGGCCGATCGGCGTGACACGTCACGAGTTTTGCGCGATCGCACGGATGTATCCAGCTTCCTCGCCGGCGCGATAACCGATTCCCGATAAATCGAATCTGAAAGACGCGTTATCATTCTCTTCTCTCATTCGTCGCGATTTTTCCGCAGGGCATGATGCCTCTTTCTCTGAACGAGGAGCCAGCGAGCGACGAGGAGATCGAAACGGTGATACGGCAGGTCGTGCGCTACTCCGTGAAGACGTCCAGTCCGCATTTCCACAACCAACTTTACGGAGGCGTCGACGGGTACGGGCTGGCCGGCTCCTGGTTGACGGACGCCCTCAACACCAGCCAGTAAGAGCAGCTTCCGAGCTTCCAAGCGTGCTCGGGGATATTCGACGGCGTGTCCTCCGCGACGCTCTCGGCAGACGTAACTGCAACTCTCTCACGAAGACGCATGACGAATAATCCGAGATATTTTCTTATCGCTCGGCGAACAGCAGACGTTAACCCACTTGCGCGCTCCAGACAACGCGTCGTGACCTACCACATTACCCCCGAGCTAAAGTCACGGGTCATCGAGTCGCCGAGGCGATTTAGTTTTGTTGAGAGAGCGAAATTCTTCCTCCGATAATAGAGAAAGAGAGGGTACGTGACGAGCCAACTGCTAATCAATCGTGGATGCTCTTATTAGATACACCTACGAGGTCGCCCCGGTGTTCACGTTGATCGAGCGCGAACTGATCGAGAAGACGTTGGCGTTGCTGGACTACCCGCCGATGCCGCAGGCCGACGGTGTGATGAGTCCGGGTGGCAGCATATCGAACATGTACGGCATGGTGCTGGCCAGGTACAAGTTGTTACCGGGCGTGAAGAAAACGGGACTCGGCGGCTTCCCACCTCTGGCGTGCTTCTCCAGCGAGAGCGGTCATTACTCGATTATGAAAGGTGCCCATTGGTTGGGCATCGGCACCGATCATGTCCACAAGGTATGACCTTCGGTCCGCGCTCACGATTAACACATTACGGACCGGTGATTTCGAAGCCTCTCCTAGGACCGAATGAAATTTGAGAATAAGCGAGAAGTTGAAGAAAGACGCGCGATTCGACGCAGCAAGTTTCCACGCTGCGACTTCGCAGCGTCCAAACTGTTCTCCCGCGCTGGTCGTTGACTCCATGTCGTTGGAGTCGTGGCTCCGAACAATAACGTTCTTCCGTTGTGACAGGTCAAGACGGATGCGCTGGGTCGTATGGAACCGAGCGACCTGAGGAGAGCCATAGCGGAGGCGAGGAAGCAGCATCAAGTACCGTTCTTTGTGAACGCCACCTGCGGTACCACAGTACTCGGCGCTTTCGATCCGCTGGTAGAAATCGCCGCGATCTGCCAAAACGAAGGCCTCTGGCTGCACGTTGACGTTCGTACAAAAGTTACCGCGTGCGCAAGTGCTAAATGCACGAGATGCTCTGACCAGAAAACTGTTTCAGGCCTGTTACGGCGGTAGCCTGCTGCTCTCGGACAAGTACCGGCACCAGCTGCGAGGCATCGAATTGTTCGTAATCATCGTCGTATCAGTGCCGTCGAGAGACGAAAGTCGGAAAGTCGCGAGTTCACGACCGTCCGAGATCGATCCGCGTACCGGTCGCTACGCAGAAAAGAAATTAGTATCAATTTTAGACTCGTATATTCTCATATATTAGCAAGAATATGTGTAATCTTATATAAATGCAGATAAAACGTGTACTCATGCATAATGAAAATCTATATGGCACCGCTTAAAAATATTGTCACGTTATTCGAGAATAATTCTCACGAATTGAGGGGAAAAAATATTGGATGTAAAAAGAAGGATATCTTCGAACTGCGAATTGTATCAGTTTGAAGATATCGTCCTTTCTTCAATATTCAATATTTCTGTAATTATTATACTAATATAATAAATTTTTCCTCTTAATTCGCAAAAATTATCCTCGAATGACAAGAATATGATATTTTTCGCGGAACTACATGGAATTCCTTCGTGTGAGAGCATGTTTTATCTTCGTATAAGATTTCTCTTATGCGCGAGAATATGAGACTCGAATTAGCGCTATTTTTTTTGTGCGTCGACCTTGAACAGTCGTCGTGTCGCGTCGTGACAGGATTTGCCCGAGGGGGGCAACGAACGGGAGCCGCGTTCGACGAAAGAATCTTAAGCGACTCTTGCGAGCTCGACGGAACGAAAGTAAGGACTTTCCTCTCTGCGACGTAAAGAGCACTTTAAAACTCGCAAACACTCCCATCGGCATCGGCCTCCTCTCATCGGCTCTCTCGTCTCTGTTCTCGCGACTCGAACGCGATCGGTTCAGATCTAACTCGGTGTCCTGGAATCCGCACAAGATGCTTGGCGTGCCGCTCCAGTGCTCTTTCTTTCTGGTCAAAGGCGAGAACGCCCTGCATGAGGTCAACTGCGCCGGGGCGAAGTATCTTTTTCAGCAGGACAAGTTTTACGACGTCACGTGGGACACGGGGGACAAAAGCGTGCAGTGCGGCAGGAAGGTAATCGCGTGCACGTTCTCCTCTAAATGCGAGATATCCCGAGTGAATTCAAGACTAGCACCGTCGGAAAATATTGCTCCCTTTCCTTTGCGAAACAGAACAAAGAAGCATTGAAAGATTGACAACTTCCGGAAGTGTTTTATGATATTGTCTGAAAGAATGATCGTTATTCTCGCCTCTGTTAACGCTCGTGTCCTAAGGTCGACGCCATGAAATTCTGGCTAATGTGGAAAGCCCGTGGCACGAAGGCTCTCGCGTGCTCGGTGGACCAGGCGATGATCTGTAAGGATTACTTTTTGAAACGCATCAAGAACATCGCCGGCTTCCGCTTGGTATTACCCGATTACGAGTGCACCAGCGTGTGCTTTTGGTGAGTGACTGAGCGTTATCGTGTCACTGTTTTGTCGATCCGAACGTTATCGGAACGGCCGAACGCTGCGTATTATCGCGTCACTGTTTTGTCGATCCAAATGTTATCGGAAAGGCCGAACGTTGCAGGTACATACCTCCGAGTATGCGTAAGCAGCAAGAAACTGGAGATTGGTGGGGCAAGTTGTACAAAGTCACGTCGAAGATAAAGGAACGCATGATCTTGGAAGGATCTCTCATGATCGGTTACACGCCTCTGCCGGCGAAGAACATCGGCAACTTCTTCCGCATGGTGATATGCTGCCAACCACCGCCCACGGAATCGTCCATGGATCATGTCATCAGCCAAATCGAAAAATTCGCGTTGGATCTGCGGATAAGCGATCTATAAGCCTCCGCAATCTCTATTTATAATCTTAAAGTATTCAATATTCATAAACTTTCATATCTGAACTATTTAATATATGTTATATATTAATATATAATTAATTATGCATTATAATTAATTACAATAATTATTTAGCAATTGATTATAACGGTACGATATGTGTTATAATTAATTATAATTAAATTATTGTATGTATAATTATATTATTAATATATAATAATTTATTATTAATCATATTTAATGGCGCTTACCTATCATTTAGCGGAGGAGAGAGAATCGTGATTGAAAAATAAAGATTCGTCCGATCGCAATTCTTCGTTGACCCATAAATGGACGTACAAGTGGTCGAACCAATCCATCGACGCATGAACGAAACGTGAACGTTTCTCCGTTTCGTTTTTATCTGCGACATTGGCATTTTCAGTCCATTACCTCCATCGCTTATTCTTATATTTAGTGAAGTAGCGTCAATAATATTCAAGGATCTCAGCTATACGCAGCAGTTGTTTGTTCTTCAACAAGTCGCGCGTCTACTTACGGGTTAAAGATAGTGGCGACTCGTAGCGGAATTCTTCAGAATTAATTTGGCCGCAAATAAAGGGTCTAACTGAACGAGTTGCAACAGTCGATTCGTTTGACCCGAGAAAAATTCGCAAAATTGCAGACTACTTGGCGCCATCTACCAGCGCTGTGAGAAAACTTTCTAAGCTAATTGGAGTGTCGATGAAATAAGGTTCCAATCTCGACTAAGCAAATGATAACGTTGCAAATTAGTTCTGAAGTCTTCACTACGAGTCGCCACAGTTTTTAATGAAGAACCGAAGTCCCAAACACAACACGACGACAGAACCAAGCGAGATCGAATATGTTTCTACTTATTGGTAAGTTTTTTTCTTTTTTACTTATTAACGATGAATATCAAACAACTTCTGTGATGTAACGATATGAATTATAGTGCTGAAAAATAAAAATTCGCGAAAAAAGAGCCTTCGATACAATTAAAAAGATGTATGCAGCGTACACGTACGTACACACCAGAAACTGTACACTTTGGTCAAGTTTAATGACAAAAAAAAATGTAACACTTAATTTCGTAGATTTGTTATCACGGGGAGAGTAGGTAGGTCGAACATAGCAAACGATCGTCGACTCGTTAAAAAAAGATATTGCCTTTATTGCAAACGAGTGCGTTGGGTAAATGCAACGGGTACAATAATTAATAATTCGCGTGTACACGCAACCTTAATAACGATATCTCGTTCTATGCGGGCGCGACAACATTAAGCGTCGTTGTATTTTGCAAATCGTTTTATATCTCTTTTTTTAACACGAGCGAATCACATGGGCTCGAATGGGCGCAGAGTAACGCGAACTATACGAGATATCTCGTGGCAGATCAAGCTGCTCTGATTGATCACCTTGGAAGACAACACCGGTGAGTTTCAAACGAGTCTCGAGCAAATCGGTTCTCACCGGAATACGCCGCTACGGCAAGTGTTTCAGCGGTCGCGTGCATCGAACGTGATTCACGGGCGCGACTCAATGTGAGCCAATATAAAAACGCAATTGTCGCGCATTATATTCGTCTGTGTGTTCATTCTTACGCATCTATTTTTATAATATACGCTCCTCCGCTCCGTCGTAGAAGTACGTTTAAGAAGACGCGCTTTTATGTACAACTCCGTATCATGGCACTACGTTACTCGAATAAAAAATTCGATATTCGTGGTATGAATAAAAAAAAAAAACGAAAGAAACGAGCTTCCTTTCTCTTTTTCACGGACGTATGCACTTACAATGTTTTGTATTTGTACAATGACTATCAATCGATCGATCCCTCGGCAGGACCGAGTGCCGAACTGAACCGTGATTGCAGCTCGGGTCACGCGGTTGCTCCCTTTGTCCTCCCTTCCCTCTTTCTCTCGGTATCCTAGACACGAACGATCCTTACGAACGTACGAATGAAATGACATCTCGGCGTAGAAATTTATTCAAATGACGGATCATGGAACTTTGTACAAATGCATAAAATTGAATGCCCGGACATGAGAGCGGGAGCGATTCTCAATTCCGAACGCGTTCCGTGCCCTGTCCTCCCTCCCTCCCTTCCTCCCTCTTCCTCACGAATATGTATGTACAGAAACAAAAATAAACTCTTACAAACTCCTACGAAACAACGGTTCCTCTCTCTCTCTCTCGGCACGCCGAGTCGTCGTCACGCCGCTCGGTGCGTCATACGCCGAGCGGCGAAGCGCGTCACTCGACTCGCGTGTTCCCCGGCACGTTAAGAAGACACGATGAATGAGAGAAAGCGACCATCGGCGCATCCGCGATCTGAAACGTACGGAAGACTCCATTAACGTTCTCTGTGCGTAATGATATCGAAATGTCCGATCAGAGACATCATTTATGGAACATTTGTGCATCATGACCGTTGCTTTAGGGCGTCGATTCATCGAATAATCTGTCTGTAACGAACGGTCAGCGAATAATCAGCAATCACGATGCGCCAGTATTCGGCCATAACACGCCTGGTTAGAAAATATCGGTGTCATTACATCGAGAGAATGGCAGAATGGGATTGCACTGATGGAGTCTTCGGGGTGTTGTGTTCGACGGGTCGGTACGACGGGTTGCCTGACTGACAGATCGCGCAGATGGCCGTGTACGATCAGCCTGCCTACAGGCGTCAGCCGGCAGGCAACCCGTCGTACCGACCTATGTTGATGCGACACCGTGTGCGTCGCAGATGCACCGCCGGCCGTTATCGTTAATACTCACATGTGGCGAAGAACGCGCGTGTATCGCTTATCTAATACTAAAAACGTAGTCTCGCATGGGCGCTCGTTCGATGCCCGCGTTACTTTAATTAAGTAGATACTCGCAACCTCCTCTCCCTCCTTGTCGAATCGTCCTGTTCATCTTGAAACTGTACACTTCGACATCTCGACCGAGCGCTAATTCCCCGATCAGGCAGCTGCGAAACGCGAGCTGGCGTCCCGGAGTCGACTCGCTTAACGTTATGGATCACACGATCCGATGGAGCAGAAACCGCGAGTCACCATTCGGGCGAAGATAGTGCGCAACTCGCTGTACGCAACCCGCTGGCCGTTCAGTAATATTTGTCCTGGTCGAGATCGGCGCGGATGTGCTGCTGGCCGTGACTGTTGCGTTTCAACGTGGCGGACTCGTAGTCGAGACTCTTCGGGTACAGCTTGGGGCTGCCGAGACCGTTCACGTTGGGGTTGCTCTTGCCGCGTAGGGTCCCGTTCCCGTTGGTGCTGCCCGAGAAGCTGGGCTGTCGCTTTGCGTTCACCTGCGAGATCAGTTCCCCTTTCAAGTTCCCGCGCCAAGGACGCGTCTCCGAGTGTCTTACCTCCTTCAGCGGCACGGTGACATAAGGGTTCTGCTTGCTGATATAGTGCGGACTACCGGGAATGCGCGGCTTGCGTCGCTTCAAGTAGAAGAAGCACAACACCGCCGTCAAGGCCAGGCCGATGACGAAACCGATCACACAGCTGCCCACCACCGCGCCCACCGTGACGCCCGAGTTCTCCACGCTCGACGGCAAGGCGTTCACGTCTGGAAGCGATTCGCGAGTAACACACCGGAGCGATATTTTCGCTCGTTCCTCGCCACAGTCGTCTCGATTAAACGATGCCGGGAGCGAGAAAGCGTACGGCCAAAATTCTCGCGGAATTGAGGTGAAATCAAAAGGCCCGTCCATATGATGGTACTCGTGTGATCGATCCAGCACATTAGTAAATTATTCTAAAGAACTTCCCTTTTACTCGAACGATGAGTGAACATCAGTCAAATTAACCCGGTGAAATCATGGGGAAAGATATAGGCTGAAAAGGCGGGTTTGTAGTTTTGTAATTGCACGGGGTGTGTTAATTTTTACGGATTATTTACGGATTGTTGGAGCGGAAAAGCCGAGTTTACGGAATATCTTGCAAACGGCAGTTTATAGGCGTAACTTCTCTCTCAGTATTTCGCAAGAATTCTGGCAACGCGTTTTCTCGCTTCTGACGTCACGAACAAGACTACCGCAGCGACGGACCAGTACAAGTATTCTGTAACTTTTAACAGCGTCGTCATCGTTACGTTGCACTCGAGCGCTTTTCTACCTCGCATCACATTCCGCGCGGCGACGAAGTAACTATGACGATATCGTCGTTGAAAGTCAGCAAAATAGACTCACGGGAGCCTTAAGATCTAACGATCCTGCGAGATCGTATCTCTCAATAGCAAAACTATCCCGGCCGACTCACCGTTGTCCGTGCAATCCGGGAGGCAATCGCGCGTCTCACGAATCGGCCCTTGACACATGCCGGGGCCGTGTTGGAGACACATACGTTTTCGGTGCTGCTGATGGTCGTCGTCGCAGGGTGTCCAATGCGACCACGTGTCCCAGCCGAGCAGAGACTCACAACTGGGCATCTCGCAGGCTTCTCTGACCAATCGGGGGCCGACGCAACTGTCTCGACCGAGGCACTCCCTGGTTCTCATGCGCACGCCGAGCCCGCAGGACGCCGAACACTCGGACCATTCGGTCCAGCACGACCATTGACCTTCGCCCGAGTTGCCGGAATTCGCCCGACACGGATGGGCGTTACAAGCCCGGCTCTGCGTCGACGTACCCTCGCAAGGCAGCAATTTACATTGCCTCACCTGTGAAACGTGTGGATTTCTCGTAGCTTGTTTCTGTTACACCGTCCCTATCAGTCAAGTCCACGGCTTTAAGTATAATATTTATGTGTTTATTTCTTTTTCTAGAAAAATGAGGAAAGTTCTTTGCCGCGCGGAGAGGAGAGATTGGTTGAATTGACGCGACAACGAAGAAACCGAACGTGTTTCGGTTAAAAAGGAAACAGGATTTCTGGTTCTTATGGGCCAGATTTGGCCCTTGGAAATTCTGTTTTCCTTCGACCGAAACGCGTTTGGTCCGCTTGTTGTCACGTTAATTCGATCTCTTCTCTCCGTGCGTGTATTTAACAAATAAATAAATAAATAAATAAAAAGCATAAAAACGCGTCGATCTTGGACCGCAAGGAGGGGAGATCGTCCAGGGGAGATCGCGACGAGCGTGACGCTTACCCGGTGCTGAGTGCCTCGTCCGCAAGAGCGATCGCAGGTACCCCAAGCGGACCATTCCCCCCAGCCGTTCTCGTTGGTGGGTTCCGCGTAGACGTTCGCGTTGGCGTTCCCTCGCATGCAGGACCCGTCGTTCCTGCAGTAACGCTCTTCCTCCTTGGCGAGTTGCACCCGCAAGCTGGACGGATCGTTCGTCTGGGCGCGGCAGCTGAACCGGAAGCGTTTCTCCACGTAGCCGGCGCTGCCGCTTTGTAAACTGGCGTTCACGGCCAACCACGGGGTCCATCCGGAGTAGCGCTTCGTCTCGGCGCAATCGATGTTGCATTCTTCGAACTGTGAAACACATCGATCCCCTCATTTACCTCGAGTAATCTCGCGTCAGACCGGTCGAAATGGTTCCCGAACGCATTCCAGCGCGTCCTAAGACGAAGAAATCTTCTTTAGTAGGATGCTCACCTGAAAATCACACCCGGGACAATCGAGACCGCCATTCTTCGGCGGCGGGTTGTCGCAGATCCTCTTTCTCATACGTATACCTGCAAAATAGGAATCGTTGATTCGCTAAACGCGAGCTAGTTTCGAGGGGGAAAGATTAAACGGAGAACGAAAAGTACGGGCACTGGGGAGGGAAGTACGTTGGATCGATGCGGAAGCTCGTCCCGTTTATTAACTCTAGCTCCCCGCTCGGAAATCTCAGAATCTCCACGAGCGTGGAATTATGCAGCTACCGGAGAAATAGCGGTCGAAACGGCGCATACTTTAATCAACCGTTTGTAGTTTTTCAAGCAAATAAATGTCACATTTATACGTTGCATTCGTGACACATTTGGTTACATTTGCGAAAAAATTTCAAGTTTCGACATGGTTTTGTATTAATAATCAAAAAGATAACTCTTGAATATTTATTCCTTTAAAAATGCAACTTTACCAGTCAAAATTATAAAACGAAGTAATTAATTCGGTGTCATATTTCTAAAAATTATTCGTGTTTCAGGAAAATATAGTAGCGCCCAGTCTGTAATTATTATTACCCACACAATACACGGTTATAGGCTTTTACATATATATATAAGTCCATGGGAGGGGGAGGGGGGACAAGAAACGAACGCGATATTTGGATACCCACCGCCACACGGCTGCGAACACTCGTCCCAGGAGCCCCAGCTCGACCACTGGCCATTCTGAGGCGGCGAGACAGCTTTGACGGGGGTAGGACAGGGCGGCAGATCGATGCACACGATATCGTCGTGATCGTGGCCGACGCATACGCGGCCGCCGAACGCGGGCGCAGGATTCGTGCAGGTGCGCCGGCGACTCTTCATCGCGAAGCCGCAGGTCTGAGAGCAGGCCGACCAGGCCGACCAGGCGGTCCAGCCGCCGTGAACGGTGCAATTTGTTACTCTGACACGAGCACCCGTGCAACCCTCCCCGCCGTGCTGCGGCGGAGGATTGTTGCATTCCCTTGTCTGGCACTGGCACGTGTCGATATTCTGCCGAGCCGAACGTTCGGGCGTTAATTCTCGCGGACCGATCGAAGCGTTCGGGAGGAGACGCAGTGTACAATATTTAGTTACACCATACAAAATTTCTCCTATGTAATAGTAACGAATTGTGTAATAGTAATTGTTCTTATGTAATAGTGATTGTTCTATGCAATGTAAAGAACGAAATATACGGCGTGAGTCTGTGTCGGTATAGTTCGTTCAAAAAGCGACGCGATGAACAGGGAGTCCCGAAATTTCTATTGTGCGGTGAAGCGTCGCGGTAAAGCGCCGAGGTCGTCGTCGTGCGGTTCTTCGCGATCGATGCTGTTTGCAAATGGAAATGAAGATACTCCCGGACGAGACCTGACGACTGAAGAGGCCCCTGACGAGGCCGATGAAGATCGCGAGCAAACACGGTGTGCGCGCCCTCACCACTCACCTCCGCGTTTTCGTTGTGCGAGTGTGAATGAACGTGACCGTGTCCGGACGATTGTTCCCCCGTGCCGTGTTGACAAGGCGACCAGGAGCTCCATGCGCTCCAGCCTCCGTCCACGGGATCGGTGAGCACTGGGCACTTAGTACTGTCCTGATGCCAATGAGTCGCCAGGTAATTCTGCTTCGGTGCCTGCGCGCATTTCATCAGATGTTCGTTCCACCCGCAATACGGCTCCTGGGCGTTCATGCATGCCTGACGGCTCCGATGGCGATAACATTGAATGGCCGGTATGCTGAATGGACGAAAGACTGATTATCAGATCGAGAGAGAGAGATGGATAGATTTATTTTTTACTTATTTATTTTGTGCATTTATTATTGTTCTACGGTTTAGTTTTCGAAAAACATTTACGAGAAATAAGCAGAATAAAAGTAATTAGTTATAAAGTATCAATACAAGTAGAGAATTGAAATGCTTGTACGAAAGATAATTAAAGCTATATAATTTGATGTTATTACCTCACAACAGGCCATTTTTAAATAGTTTTGTATCTAAGATCGATGCTATATAATTTGATGTTATTACCCAACAGGCCATTTTTAAATAGTTTTGTATCTAAGATCGATGCATAGAGCATGAGAGATGGAAGCGTTTAATATTGTTCACACATAATAATTACTGCTCTTTAGGTGGGAGAGAGGGAAAAGATGGTAATGTATACGAAAGGCACAATTAAATACCACTCGTATACGTCGCGATATACCAACCGGTGTCTGGTAAAATTTCGACGAAGGCACGAATCATCCGCAGGGGAGGGGGGCGTCTTACCGTAAGAGGCCGACCTCCATGCCGACGTAGAGGCTTTGGGTATCCTTGAGGAACTGCAAGGTCATCGGCGGCGAGGGTACGGGTCCCCAGACCTCGATGATGCAGGTCTCTTGTGTCCTCGATAAGACGGAGATCTTCTTGATCAGTCCGGTGGTCGTGGCGACGTAGAGGACGGTTACGCTGCGATGCAGCTTGGTCGGTGTCACGTCGATCGCGATGTGGGTGAAGCGCTCAAAGGTCGCGGTATACAACGGCTCCGGCAGCGTGCTCTGCACCGCGTCGTCCATCAGCTGGTACAGTTGATCCTCCATGATCTGATGCGGCGCGGTGTTGGGCGACGGGCCGCAGTGTTGTCGATTGTGATGCGCGACCTGTCTCCTTTCCCAGGCGGCACCCGCGCCATCCTGATACTTGTAGGGCCCGTTGAAACTGGCGGCGATCGCCGACATGTTGAACGCGCAGATCGCCGAGCCTGCGATGCTGTTGCTGCGGCAGGAAGAGAGAAAAAGGTCCCGTTCAAGGCCGAGCCCGAGATGCGTCGCGCGCTTCCGTACAGGGAAAAACCAATTCCGTGACTGAACCTTCCGTTCGCCGGGGACCAACGACGAGGTTGTAGGGCCGGAAAGATTCCTTGTCGTATCGATTATGTAACCTTCTCCTAGGGTGGTCGCGTGAAAAGTGAACATTTCAAGTGTTTTCAAAGTAGAAAATTTACATTTTTCACGAGTTCACGCCAGAGGAGGAAATTCACCTCCCCCCCCCTCCCCCCCCC